TCGTAAAAATCAGGAATATCTTTAATAAATCGGTTACGAAAGAGAAATTACATAAACAATCAATACTAAACAAACACTATTACGTTTCGACACTCTTCTGTGTACTAATTAACTCGAAATTGTCGCAATTAATTCGAATTATTAATATATACTGTGTATATATATTATAATTAAGAAACTCGTTGCTTCGTTAAAATTCTAATTTGACGTCATAACGACGAATGAAATGAGGTTTAGATAATTGAAAAATACTCACCCTCTGATAAGAATATGAGGGAAGAAAATATTATTAAAAAGTAATTACTATACATTTCAGTTTTTCTCCCTCCGAAACGCAAAATGTCAAACACCAATGTGCGAAACGATCGGGGTCGTCTGTGACGTTTAATGACGTATTGTTACGTCGTAAGAATCTTTCCCAATGTAATAAAAGGGTAAAACATTTTTTATACGTTGGCTTTCGGATATTTTTACCGATTAAAATAATAATAATAAACATTTAATAACAATGATAAATAAATAAAATTTTTCAAAAGAATCGATTTTTCTCGTTTTTATGTAATTCGTGACGTAATCTTATGTCATAATAACTTCTGTTTTATCTTTTGTAACAAATACAAATTTCGTTTCTCTTCTTTTATAGATTTTCTTCCTAATTTAAGGTTTTGGATTTTTAAATACACTTTTATATATACAAAGAATGTAATGGAAAAAATAATCTTAACAAATACATTTCACACGACGCTTGGACTAAAGTTTTCTGTTAGTTCCCCCCATGTAGTTGGGGTCTGTAAATAATGCAAATATTGCTAGTTATATAATTTACTTCATTCTTTTCGATGTTGCATTATATTTTTGTTGGTGTGATCGCCCTTAGGAAAGAGGGAAAGAGTTCTTTGATACTAATCCATAACAAAAAAATCAAAATTCTCAAGCATGATATAAATGCTAGGGAATTTTTTTGATGGTTTATAAATAATATATGAAACTAGCCGTCGTTGGTTGCTATAAATTTATTGTTTATTTGTCGTGAACTATAAACACAATTGCGTGCGGAATTGTTAACTGAATAGAGCCTAACTTGATTTTCTAATTAACTCTTCATTTGCATTTCTGAAATTTAATTATAATTTCAGAAATATTATTTTAAGGATTTGTTGATTAAAGTATATTACTTTTTTTAAATTATTTATTATTCTTTAACATATATAAGTCAATGCTCTCATAAATTTCTCTTATTAAAAAATAATACTAAATTCGTGCATACTTTTTGATAAATTAATTAATTTTTATTGTTTTATTAATTCATTATATTATTAATTCAATATATATTATTTTAATTATATTTACTTATTTTCCCGACTTGGTCTTATTGTATTTGTTGTTATATGATTAAATATGTTGAAGTATTTCGTGAAATCGGTTTATTCGTTTATTTTTTTCAATAAATTTATTAAAGGAAGAGTAAGTAATTGTAATTTTAAAATATCGTGGGTTTTTTCTGTATGTATGAATGTGTGTGGGGGGCACGATTTTGTTCATTCTCTGTGAAGCTTAATAACGCCTTTGTCTTATCGATAATTTCTGAAATTTTGCAGGAAGGTTTATGTATTGGGGGGATCGATGGTATTAAATTTTGGTGGTAAAAGATCGACGGGGTGGGGAGATAGAAGGGGTCGTATCTCGAGTCAGGTACGGCTTAATGACGACTTTACTCGTTATTAGCATTTACAATTCTTAGTAAAACTCATCCCTACTCTCGAAATTAAGCTTTTTACTATTTTATAATTATTAAAAATATCGTAACAGATGATGTCGCACACGCAGTTTTAAATGTTGCCGGGAAAGTTAAGCAACTCGTTGCTGTATTATTTTTAACTGTAGTTAAATTTAAGTAATTTATACCCATATAACGATATACGCTTCATGCATTTGGAATGTCTGAAATCCGTAAGAATACCGCATAACCTCTATATATATTAGAGAATTAAAGAATGCTCTTCGGGCCAATGATGAACACATTTTGGGTTGCTTATATTTGGCCACTTTTTCTTTAAAAAAGTTGTATAGTATGTATTCATACGGTCTAAGTCAGTGTTTCTCAACGGGGGCGATATCGCTCCCATGTGGACGTTTTTCCATGTTGAGGAGCGATTAGTAACAATTTATATTTTGGGGGGCGAAAAACAATTTTCTGGGCGGTATAGTAAAACATTATATTAAGAAAAATTGGATATTTTATTCGTTATATCGTACAATAATTAAACAAATAACATTATACTAGTCACTAGTCTATTCAATGCAGTATGAATTTGGCGTTAGTCTTGGCCCTCGGCATCGGAATTTTGAAGTGAAGGGGGCGATACTACATAAAAATTTTATTGAAGGGGGCGATACTACGTTGAAGGGGGGGCGACGATTCGTTAGAGGTTGAGAAACACTGGTCTAAGTCATGGCCACACCGTACTTATCTAGCCATTGTATATAGGCAAAATAGACGCGCCATTACGCCATTACTGCGACAGGTACTGTACTGTACATACAGCCCTAGTGTTTTGCCCCCGTACAGTACATCATACTTTCCTGCTAGCAATAAAGTCGTGCCGGTTATATATTTAAATTAAAGTTCATATATAGTTAATCCAAACAAAAACATATGAGATATAAAAAAAATTTCGCTAATTTAGACGATGGTCAAAATTTTTCTTATGAGTTTTTCTTTGGTATAGATAAGCTTGGCGCTTAAAGGCAAAATGTAAATCTATAAGTTTTTCAAAATACAGCCCAATAAGTAACCGAGTGGATAAAACCACTGAACACCGGAAGTCGGTCGTGGGTTCGGCGTGGCCAACAGACTAGCTCCGTGGAGTTTTCTGGGTTTTTTTCACGTTAGTAACAGCTGAATAGAGGTCAGCTTTACACAAGTCCTCCCGGGATTCATTTTCTTCGGCATATCGCTCACGTGTCGCATTGCCATAACCGAAGAAACCAACCTAATTCTATTAGTTTTACTATAAACGCGATATTTTCGAGGACATATATAACTACCAAGAAACCTGAATACCTGCTCTTCCCTTGATTTTCATCTCCCCTTATTAACTCATAAACCCATTGCCCCAAACTTCCTTCAGTGATACAGCTTAACCCTCATCGCCGCCATTGTTAGAATAAAAACCACGTGTCTACTTTGACGTCACAGAAAAGACTTCTCTTTTATTGGAGGAATTTTGGCGTAAAAAGTAGAGACATGCTCTACTCTATTTTCAGTTCTGTTTCAGCCAAAATTTCAGAAAAATTTTTACGTTTTCTGTTTTATGCTAGATTTTAAACCGAATTTTACGCATGTGTGTTCCTGGCCTTACTGTCAAATCTTCTTCCACTATTCTTATGCCACAACTTTCAAACTTACTTAGATGTTTTTGTTGATCTTTTTACTTTAGAAAATCCTGGTGAAACCAGGTTGAAAATAAGATCACGTAAAATTCTCGCATTTTTACAAGAAAATTGTGCCAATTTGTACCATCCGAGTATCGCGGTAAACGTGACAATGGTAGGCTAAAATAACCAAATTCTTTATACGGTTTTCGTTTTAATGTTTGTTATATTATAGTATTTGATTTATATGAGTACAAAGGTTATCTTAGGTAAGGGTTTATCACACAGAGTGACCAATCTAACACACTTACGTAAGATAATCTTCGTAGTTACATAAATCAGATACTATAATAGAAGGATTAGAAGTACAAAATAATCTAATAAACTTATTGTTTGTAATTTTTTGCCGGGCTGACCTAGTTTTTATTGTAAAGGTAAACAAGAATGAAAATTTCAATATTGTTTCCATTACTAGCATTTTGAATGATATCACAGATGTCGGCTTTTCCTTTAATTTGAACAGGCACCGTGAAAAGAAATTAATTGGTTTGCATGTTCTTCAGGCGTCGATCTTCGACTTCTTTTCGGGGAGACTTCTCGAAGATGTGTACTAAAGACTTTCGAGCAGCTCGAGTCGTCTGTAGTGTGCGATATCTTCGCTGTTCCAAGAGACCGTTTTACAGAATTTGGGATAAGATTGAGGGCGATCGAGGGGGGGCAAAAATGTTAAACATGTAATATTCAATTGATGATTTGAATTACTCAATTAGTTAAATCATGGCAGCTATTTTTTGGGACATCTTATATCTTGTTTAGCCTAATACTTTGTGTTTTTTTATCGTCTAATTTCTAAATATTTTCCTACTGGTTGGAAAATTTGGTTATTAACCGTGTTACATTTGCAACTGTTACTAACGTACGACCTTTTGCAAAATTTAAATGGAAGAAGAATTCTCCAATCTTCAACTATTACTGTCTCGCCAAATGTTTTCTTTGTCACTATTTATTCATTAATTATATTTTATTTTAAAAAATAAGGCTTTAATATGCGAAGCTGATATAGCAATCAGTTTCTATATACTGTAAAAATTCAGTAAATGCAATTTATACAGTAAAAGTTGAGGTTAATGTAGGCGCCTTCGCAGGATTATTTGGCCTGTGCCTGGCGCGTGTAAGGGCAAATATAAATAAATACACTTGTTACAAATTCTTCATTCCGTTGCATTTCTTGTGTATTAAGTGATAAAAGGTGTTTAATATATTTGGACCCCAATATATAAAAACTGGCCAGGACCTCGCTCGAAAAGTCCTGCTTAATAAAAGATTGCTTAAGACTATTACGGTAAAAAACGTCTTCAGTTGATAAAATTACGTAAATTATAATAGAAGCGTGAACCGTAGTATATAATATAAATTAGAAATTATTCTACTGCTTACTAAATTATCTTCATTATATTCTAAATTGACGTTTTAAAAAGTTAATGCAAAACTTTAAAAGAAACGTCAAAACGTGTAAATAAATCACGTAAATTATATAAATCCATCAGAAAAATATCCAGATAACATTTAACGATAACCTAAATATCAGTCTGAAGCCTTATTGTTAATTCTATCAAAGCTTGAATCGGTTCTACCCACTTTCGATAACATTTATCGAATGATACAACACATCTGTGTGAGGATTTAATCGTATCCAATTGTGTAAATTCGATCCCGATTTTTAGAATTTCGACGTAGACTCTTTATTATATTAAGATAAAGTGAAATTCTAATTTACTCTATCTCGTAAGTAATGATTTCCATCATTCTAGTCGTTCTTTTATCTTCAAGTAAGTACAAATTATACAGTGATTTAATTGATATAAAGAACGGAATTTATTCGTAATTGCATCGAATTTTGTATCTTAATTTATTATTATTCGAAGGTTGCAATTTAGCTCGAGCATCCGAAGATGGATGGAGTTACGAAGGTGATGATGGTGAGTCCATATGCAGATCCTTGTAAAGTTACAGATCGGTTTAATGATGATTTAATTTCTTTATCGTCTTTATTTTTTTTTAATTGAATTACATAGAAATAGTGATTGCTTAAAAATGAAAGTTTTCGAGTAATTTATTCCAGAGAATTGATATCTCTGATTATAATAACTTATCTGACGAAATTGCATTTGATACTCGTTCGTATCGTAAAGGAATTTTCATGTACTGTACATCACGAGTGTTTAATTACTATAAAATACAAAATTTTGGGGTCCTCCGTGTTCGGGGCATGTCCAAAATGGCCTTAAGTCCCCGTTTTTGTAAGGACCTAGTGACGACGAATGTAAAAAGTGATTTGTGTGTAATAATTCGATTGGAGATTCCATCACAGATGTAAAATTACTTCTAATCACGCCAAATTCCTTTGAAATCGGAGAAATGTGGCGGCGAATATTGTTATGTACAATGATGAAGCCTACGTCTATCATTGTAGCTTAGTAGAGAGGTTGAGGCGCACGTTTTAAACGTGTAAACGTGTACGTGTGACGTTCGGCGCCGCTTTCCCGTAAGCCTAAAAGTTTGACGATGGTGTTTGGAATGTCGAGCGTGATTCCACCGACTGTCCAAACACCATTGCCAAACTTTTAGGCTTACGGGAAAGCGGCGCCGAACGTCACTGTCACACGTACACGTTTACACGTTTAAAACGTGCGCCTCAACCTCTCTAGTGACTTAATCAAATATACCAATCTCGCTTTCTACACGGTGTTGTGATCCTTATCAACGCGTTTTGCCGTAGACAACTTTTGGAAGAATACTCCACTAGTGTTTTATATTCATTCATTATATGACTCACGCCGATATTCTTCCAAAATTTATCCGCAAAGAAGGCTGTTGAGGAAAACGTAGTTACTCTTAATAAGAAAACCTTGTATACAGGAGTTTAAATCTTACAACATAACGGATGCATCATCTTTCAAAGGTATCAAGAATATTTTGAAATTAAACGATTTAGGATAAAAAATAAGTTGGGAAAATTTGATCTAGAATAATTTTTGCAATGTCTTAGATATAATGAAAAGAGATGAACTAACAGAGGGTGGTCCAAAAATCACTTAACCGTTGTAGAGACTAATTTGTCTTGCTTAGATATTTTATTATTATCAATATTTAAAATCATTTCTTTGTGTGATACGCAAACTACAACGATTCGTGTTCGTAAGTGTAGCCGTTACGTACAAAAATACGGTTAACCGAATTTTGGGCCACACTGTACATTAAATTAATATAGCCGTTTAAACTAAGGTCCGGAGAATTGGGTAAAAGGATATCGAAATTGTGGAGGAAAACGACAATCTCCCATCGACATAAAAGGAAGCGATACAAAATCGAAGACACGGGATCCTCCTCTGGAGAACTTCGTAAACTATAACAAATATTCGAAGAGCTGCAGCCTAACAAATAACGGTCACAGCGGTAAGTCGTACAAAACTCGTCTATTATCACACGGAATTATTTAAAATAATTGCAAGTAAAGACTATTCCATTATGCAGTTCAGTTAAAAATCGAAGATTTTCAAGCCCAGTTCACTAATTCGGATTCTTCGAAAAAATATAACTTCGTCCAACTGCATTTTCATTGGGGAAGCGAAAACGACAAAGGCTCAGAACATAGCTTCGACGACAGACATTTGGCTCTAGAGGTAAATATAAAATGGCGATTTAAGTCGATACTTTGTTTGGGTACTCCTAACCAGTATGTATTTAACGGTGAACTCAGGTACACTTAGTACACCAGGAAGTTAAACGACCGAACCGACTGGCAGTTGTGGCGGTTTTGTTCAAAGTAAGACAACACAAATCCATGATGGTGTTAGACTTAAATGACAAGTTTTATTCTGGTTAAAGGCGGTGGAAAAAGACAACGGAGACCTCGAACCCATTGTGGAAGTTCTGCGCCACGTTCGAAAGGTAGGACTTACCACGGGTCTAGAGCAGGATTTTCGACTTTCCAACCTCATTCCTAACGGAAAATTGAAATATTTTACCTATTCCGGATCGTTAACCACCCCGCCATGTACGGAGGACGTCGTTTGGATTGTTTTTAGAAACACAAACGAGATAGGAATCAATCAAGTAGGCACTTCGGGTACATTGGCATCTTTCCTTATACTTAATTCGATAACTGATTATTATTTTGAATTAATTCATTAGTTGGAGAAATTTCGTTCTCTGGAAATGAATGCTTTTAACCTGTCGGTAAGTGCAAGAGGAAATGCTAGACCCCTTCAGGAGCTGAATGGAAGAACGGTTTATTATTCGAAGACTGCAGTCGTCCTTCCGAATACGTTATTGCTGCTGTTTGTGTTTTTGGGAAGGATATTTTGGCTCGTCGATTATTAATCGAAATCCTTTAATGTGCCGTGCGTACACGGTCGACAAATTGTTGAAACATTTTCTTGCCTTTACGTATTCATCGAGTTCAAATGCAGCCGTGTACACGGGCGACACTTCCGTGTTACGACGATCCCGCGGCCACGAAGAAATCACTGGAGGACTAGAGGAACAAACTGAAAAAGCACTAGGTCTATTAACTACGATTTAAGTATAAAAATAATAACGGTATCCTAAATTTACGTGAAAACATAAACGTATATAATACACTGCAGATGAGCACTACTGACTAAATCGGAGGGGTTTAGCCACTTCGTAACTCCCGTAGCTACGGGTCTGTATTACAACTAAAATTACCCTAGTGCGATCAGAAGAGGTCGTGCCCCGGAGAAATTCTGTCACCGATCATCAAGACATGCCAGGGACCTTGCCCTCGGCCTGATATCCTTTTTTTTTTTTTTTTTTACTAATCGTAAGGGTATATATATAAGATATATAAGGGCACTTATATATAAGATTATATACTGTATATCCCTCCAGTGGACTCTTATAACGTCAGTGTAGGGACATTGCATAAAAATAGTTCTCGACTCTAGTCACACCCACACGAGCCTATTCGTAAATAGCAACCGCCTCTACAACATACAAAACTTTGCATATTAGTTTTCTTGGCAACAATTTTGTTCCAACAATTTGTCGAGTGTTGCATATATCAATCATCGTTCATTTATACACACCGTACAACTGAATTACCGATTTAGACTTAAATTCTTGATAGTAAGTGGAAAATTTTCAAGTACTGTAATTTATGCAGTGTCTTAAAACTGTAGTTTTCGCCATTCCTTAAATCGTTTAGTCCTTGCCGTAAACTAAATGTCATTTAAAAATTGTTACGGATTCGTTAAAATATACATGTAATCGTCTATTCATTAAATCTTCGCAAAGAACGTTAATACCACAGAAGTTAATGATTAATTTATTTTCGTGGATTTAGCGTTACGACTTTGGCTGGAATTAATTGTGGCACTTCTCTACTTAAAATTCGATTTAATTTTAACGTAATCGAGAGTTACAATGGCCTAAATCTGGTTTTAATATAATCGTAACTATGATAAAAGAATCCTTTTTTTTTCCGTTGGCATCTTACAGAAAAGAATAGCAAGACACTTAGAAATAACTTACTTGTATCAATCCAGTAATCCATTAGTGTATTGTTGTTATTTCAGCTAAACTAGATATAAATCATCTCCTGCATTCGTGTGTATCCTAACAGGGTGAGTCTCCACATAGAACGAGGAAGACTGCCAGATTGCTACAGATGCTTGGACTTTAATCTCCACCACACAGCAAAGGTCACAAAGGCCCAAAAACACATTTGGGCTGTAAGGCGGATGCTATGTAACTTCCCACCCAAGGCAAGGCATGGACTTTAAAGTTTCTCTAAGGTCGCTGTAGTTCCAGTAGCTGTAACAGAATGATTCGGTCTGGCAGCTTTCCTCTTTCTATGTGGAAGGTTTATACAAACTTATACCATTTATTTTAATTAAACTTGATAAAATAGAAAGTACATTAATTAATAAACAAATTTTCATATTATGTTATAGCAGTAAAACAGAATGTGGGAACATAAGAAAAAAAAAAGGAAGAGTATATTTGTGTTGATGCATATGACCTCAGTCTAGCACAGAAAGTGGGGATAGACAAGACATGAAAAGAAATGAGGAATGAGAGACAATTAAGAGTAAGAATGAGATATGAGAACTTTCGTACCACTCCAGTTCTGTTTTAATTATGAGAAAAAATTAAAAACAGATCTTGAGTCACGTGAAAGTTCTCATCCTTTCTTCTAATTGTCTTGGAAAATAGTTTGCCTTATAATTTAAAATTATTGCATAAATCATACATCCACTTTAGTTTATAATACCCAAAAAGACAAGACAAAATTCCCAAAGCAAACATTTTAACACAGTTACATTGAAGACAAGTACAAGAAGAATGTTGATTGATATATACAAGGTAATTGTAAAGTTCTTAGATAGAAAAATTTTAAACATTTGTCAATTTATAAGTTTGATATCAAAGAAATATGTAAGTAACATATATTATATATGTATAACACAAACAAAAATTTTTTAAATTCAGTTTGAGAACTTTATGATCACCCTGTATTTTGCCTGCAAAAACAGTGCATGCATTAGTATATTTAATCTTTGTAGTACTCCACAGTTTATATGAATTGTTAAACACAAATAAATACACATAAGTTAACATTTTATCAAATATTCAAAGATTGTGAAAGATTTACATCCTTTTCGAGTTGAGGATAAATCTTTTACGATCTTTGTTGCAACGAAAGGTTTGACAAGACAGAAATTTCTTTCTTGTAAAAGAACTTTTATTGATTTCTACTTTATATTAATAATTTGAAGGTATAAATTACAAAAGCACCAGCTAGAATTTATTAAACTAGAATTTACATCGAAAACGCACTTTCTATACAAAAGGAAATAATAACGATCGACGACGGTGCAACAAATTCAAAAATTTCTCATTATTATCGTCTACATTGCAAAAAGTTACATGTTTTTTTTTACTTATTCTTGCATAATTATATAAATGCATATATAGAATACGAAGATACCGAATGCTACAAAACTATCTTACGCCCGCTATTACTTTGCACGTTTAAAAATCAGACTGGGAAGCTGTCTGGGGTCCATTGGATTAGTCTAAGATCTCCTACGATGTTCAGATCAAAAATATACGGTCCGTAAAAGATTGTTAATAGTATATTAAATATAAAAAGTTTCGATCTCATAATGGCAGTCTTGTTTATTTGGTAACGATTGTGCACCGAAATAAATGGGACGTAATGATTTCCGATTGTGTGTACTATACGTACCGGAATCTAAAAACTGGTATAACTTCTACCACAGGAACATAAAGCACAGAATTACAGAAGACGAGAATTGAACGGTACAGACAGATAAATGACCATGTTCTTGTGACGTATAAATATAGCAAAATTATAGTCCTAATATTTGTCGTTTCGACACACGATTAGAAAAGTAATACAAAGTTTTGCTTATCTACAAACCCATCTAGTAACTAAAATTATTCTGGGAAGCTGTCTTATCTTCGGTAAGTACCTTAAAAAATTGGTATTAGTCGATACGGATAACATTTCGGTCGTAGACTTGACATTAATAGCTCGGATCGAACACGTTTCATGTAGAACTACGAGAAGAGCTACTCGAATGACCACATGGAGAATTTATACAAGATACGCCACCGGCACTAACACTAGACACATGACGGCCACGTGGACGAGAACTGGAATATCTCCATCTTGTTCATACAGAGGTTTCCAGTGGAATGATAGTTCTTTTAATACCACAAACTAATATATACAAAAATAATAGTCAAATGGTATGTTTTATATATATACTTTTTTTTCTCTGAAAAATAGCTGTTTTATGCAATAATTAAATCTCCTTTTGGTAATATAAATATCATAAAAAGAAACAGAGAGAAAAATAACAGATGTCTAAATAAAACCATCACGTGCAAAATTTAAAGTTTTACTTTTGCAATTAATATCTAATTAGTGAGTTTTTTTTTGTTTTTTACAATCATTTACAGATTCTGATATGCACAGTTCTATTATATAACTATATATTTATATATACAATATCAGAATGCCCTATTTAACATATTAACATATAAATTCTTATATATCGGGGTATAATGTTTTTTTTTATCCTTTTTCTTATGGTAACACGTATCTAGACTATAAACGATATAAGAAATTTGTACATTTTCATATATTCTAAAAAAATTTCTTTTGATCCAAATACAAACATGAATTATAAAATTACTGTTTGGCGGCTGGTTCTGGTTCTGTCTTGACCAGAAGTCCCGATGCCCTCCTCTTCAGAAAGAAATAGAGGATGCCCGCCTGTGCCATGACGTCCACTGTCCCTGCGGTCAGAAGGTCCGTGGGGTTGGAATTGGATGAATTGCTCCCCTGCCTCAGAACAGTCGGTCCGAAAACCGTAGCCAGATTGTGTAATGACATTTTGTTGTTGGCTTCATGATGATTGACCCTATGTTTTATTAAAAGGCAGAATGTATTATTTAGCTAATTAATGACATGGTAAAGCAGGTAAATAAGTTAAAAGTTTTAAACGTGCCATTTTATAAGCTTACCTCACTAAATGGTCAAGTAGATGTAAAATGATTGCTTGGTTAACCTGTGGCAGTGTTTCAAATAATGCTAATAGCTGCTTTCTCTTTTCGTCTTGATCATGAAATGCTAAAAGAATGAAATTAATTTATTTGAAAAAAGTAATAAAATCAAAATTGAGACTCCTAATTTCATTTGTACAGGCATATATAATAAGCAGAATCCATTTATTGTAACATGCTAATTCCAATACAGTGTATTTTAACTTACCTAGTGATGTATTTGAAGCTGGTAGTATGAAAAGACAGCACCCATACATTTAACGTAACATGCAAGTGTAATCAATCATCATTTGATGCACTTCATAATTGCTGGAACACAGACAAAACACCTAAACCAGCATATGTTATCTGGTTTAGGTGTTTCATCTGTGTTTAAATAATATATTCCAGTATTGGAGAGTAATTAATTGCCAGAATTTAACAAATCTTTTTGTATGTAATTGAATTAATTTGATGAATTAACCTTTACAGGAATGTAGCCAGTAATATTCGTGTGGGGAAATGCCACCCCAATGGCTATATACCTGCTTTTAACATCGATCTTACCAGTATATTAAACATTAAAAGTTAATATTTATATTTTAGAAAAAGAAACTTACTGAATGCAGAGAAGAATTTTGGATAAAGATGGTCAGTAAACAGAGCTTCCGGCAATTCTCGTAAATATAATTTGAGAAGCCCCGTCACGGTGTGAATGTCCACTTCTTTCAGTAACTGTTCAGCTTCATAAACGTCTAAAATAAATATAAAATGTATTTTTTTCAGTTTGTAAATAATTTTATTGTAATAGCACTCAATCTGATCATTTTTAATTTCTACATATACAGGATGCGGCAGAAAGAACGTTCTGATTTGGGACGACAAAAAAAAAAAAAAAAAAGCAAGATATCTATTTTTTTATTGTTGTTCCAAATCAGAACGTTCTTTCTGCTGCATCCTGTACAACTTAGTATTGAATGATAGTTGCAAGTAATTAGTGCAATTTTTTAATACTCATTTCAAAAAGAAATAAGAAAAAAATAACTTGGATATTTTATGCACCACTTATTTTCTGTGAAAATCTGACTTTACAATTTAGTTTTAATTATAAAAAATTAAGCTAACAAAATAAAATTCTAATCAAATTTTTGTATATTTAACACAATTGTTTAACAAGTTATTTCTTTATAAGAATCATCTTGCATATGTATTCTACATTTTAGCATGTTAAAGGATAATCTCTTTTAAGAACTGAGCACTCCAATCATTTCCTCTACATGCTAATTCATTCACATTGCTGCTTTATTTATATTTTTAATTATGAAGCAATAAATATCTCATTCAATGAATTTTCATTTTCATTTAACTAAATAACTTTAAATTTAGTTTCAAATTATTTCTTCTATACTGTACATTGTACAGAAGTGTTCTGAAGTGATAGTGTTCTGCTTTACAGTACATGGTAGACCATCTTCTCTGCAAAACATGATAATGAGCACACCCTTGCAGTCACTATCGACTTCAAGGGTGCATTTGATCATGCCTGGTGGTTGCCCTCAGGCTGCTCTAGGAACATTTACAACATCTCCAACAGCTTTCTCTCAGAGAGAAGGATTACAATTGACCTCCAAACCACTACTATTTCAAAGAAAATCCAAGGGTTCCAGCTCTGGCCCACTTCTATGGCTCATGACTTACAACAGTCTACTTAAAATTCAGCATGATCTCCCAAGATATCCAACAGTCAGCATACAAGCATATGCTGATGATCTCCTGATTTTTATGTCTCATTAATATAAGAGTGTCTTGCAGTCGAAAATGAACCAACTACTTCAGGACATCAGCAAATGGTTCAAGTCCAACCAATTGATTATAAATCTAGTAAAATGTGACTGTATCATATTCCCAAGAAGAAACACTTTGGCCAAAAAACACATCCTAAAAATCAATGGGCAGAAAATAGTCAATTGGGACACTATCATATACCTGGGGCTCTAAGTTGATGATAAACTTACTTGGACTACCCACGTTGAATTCATTCGCCAAAAGGCCCTAACCATGGCCCACTCACTGTGCTCCATCACACATAATACATGGAACTTAATTACAACACTGCCACCATAGAACCCTCCATTCTTTATGGAGCTGAGATTTGAGGGAAGGCTGTCGCAAAAGCTAACATTACAAGGAAGCTCCTTTCCACTCAAAGGAATTTCCCTATACTGATCACTAAGGCTTACAGGAACTCCCCAACAAACACAATGCAAGTCATGGCCAATCTACCTCCCCCAAAGCATCCTTGAATCTACCACATTCCACCTGACATCAAATATCTGTGGGACAAAATCAAAACCCTGCACTGTGACTTCCTGACCATCCATCACTCAACTCTCCTGAAGTCCTGCTCATCCCAGGCGAAAGAAAATAGGGGCATCACTTCTATACAGATGGGTCCAAATCCCTCAGTGGGATCAAGTGTGCTTTTGTTTGTGTCAACCCGAAGGGGACACTCCACACATCAGGCCAACTCTCAGCCCATGGAATATTACTCTAACCAATCAAGCCGAGTGCTTTGCCATACTTAGGGCTTTAAGTACTGTACATACAAACTAATCACAAACAGTTTTCCAAGGAACCAATCACCATCCACACAGACAGCAGGATATTGCTCTTCATCAGATACATAAACGAAATAAAGAGTTTACCATAATCCAGCAGATCTGTGACTCTCTCACATGCCTAGATAAGCTTAAGCAATTGGTCCTTCAAATGGATGAAGGGGCACACTGGAGACCAGTGAAACGATAGGGCCGATCTACTGGCCAAAAAAAGCCATCAACAACATCACCACCACCTCCTTTGGATACATCCCACCTAGCTGGGTACTTGGGCGCCTCAATGATTACATTACAGGCATATGGTAACAACGATGGGACACTGAGGTTACTGGGAGACTCGCACGAGTTTATCCCAAACCTCTCCAACAGAGAACACATGGGACATCTGACACCAAATCACTGTCTATAGTAACTTATGACTTGCCGTGGAAACATTGCTTTCTCAGAAAGGGGAATGGAGAATGTGACTGTGTCATGGGAGAACCAGAGGACTTACACCATATCATCTACTTCTGCCCGAAATACCACAACAACAGGAGGAAACTGAAAGAAGAAATTTACAAGACAGGAGTCAACTGGATGTGTAAGCTTCTTGACTTAGTTAGCAACAGGAACAATTACAAAGCATTGGTCAACTTCATGAAGGGCACGAACATTGTTACACATCAGGTCCTAGCTGCCAGTCGAGGAGGACATCACTCACAGTTGGCACTGTTCTAATGTTGTATCCTCTTCAAAGTACTATAAATGAAGCAGGTATTCTCTTATTGACTTTCAGTTGTGCTTCAGCATAAGGCTACTTGGTCACCTTTTGTTATTCAGTGCACACACTGCCTCTCTGTAAATTGTAAATTTCTGTTTTGTCACCTGTGCCCTCCAAAGTCTGGAGGAAGCAATCTATCACTTGTTCTGTTTCAACAATCTGGCATTATGTTCTGCGTTAGCATTGTTAGAGCTGTCGCAAACTACAGGATGCAGGAGCTAGCGTACACTTGGTCGTGCTCCCAAGTTCTGCCTTTTTTCCCACGAGGCTATGAGCCATTTTTGCTAGGTAAGCTATGCGGGCAAGAAGCAGCCACAAACTACACAACATTTGCTCGTGTAACATAATCCACATGACGTGGATTCCACAGATGTGGATTGGCTATAGAACAAGATTTTATTATAGCCTATACTTGTAATCAGTCAGTTTTCGTTCCAAACTTTGAAACAGCATGGGAAAAACATGTTTACTAGTTAAGCCTGGTTAGGCTTAACTAGCCAAAAACTATTTATACTGTATATTACTATTTACATACAATGTTTATACTATTTTCTTCTCAATACTGAATGTCTTAATCATGTAATAGAATTTTATTGATGTACATAAATTATTTCTTTTTTGACATGTTTAAGTAGTCACCCGTCTTCCCTGCTCTCTCTTGCTAGCATGACTGCTCTAGTTGTTGAATTCTGTGATCGGTGAGTATACTCTCATATTGCTGCGCTAGCAAAGGAAAAACCGTGCGGGCAAGAAGAAAGGGGCAGAGCCTTCAACGTCATCGGTTGTACTAGAACATGTTTGCTAGTGTTTTGCTCTTGCAAAGCACTAGTTTGTGGCGGCTCTTACCCTCTGGAGCCAAGGGGGAATTTTCTTTGTTGCCCCCATCCCCCCACCAGGTTGGGCTCTACTCCCATGATTTTATTGGGGGGAATTCAAAGCCAAAGGCTGTCCTAGGGTTTTCCCTCACCTCAAAGTGCCGAGGCATGTTTACTGTTCTCAAGTGTAGAATTACAATCACATACAATATTGTAACTCTGGTTGTTTAAATAAACAGGACCTGGTGACTGCTCTGGATCTCATGTTTTCACACTTTCCTATCATTCTTTTCTTTCATTCACCCTTCTCACTTCAACTAAACTCTTCATTCTTCCTTGGGGTTAGGTCTTCTCTTCTTTGAAAGACTGCAAGGCCTACATTTAACCATTGTACATTCTACAGTCTTTAAAGACAATTTAACATCCAACAAATTGAGGGACTAAGGCTACATTTATGTAGGAGAGAGAAATACCAAGCAAACAAAGCCACATAGGAAGAGAACTTGCCCACAAGCATACTCTCCCTGATTTATCTCTAGTTGCATTTGTGAAAAAGCAGGAAGGAAGTGTCTGACAACCTTCCATTCTTCGGTTCTAAATTTCAGGCCATTCCCTTACTAACTCTATTAATATTTCCTTCCTTTTATATATGGCATGCCTCGTTGTTGCACGAAAGACAGGCTGCCAAACTACTGTGCACCGACTCGGGAAACAAGAAAAATATGAGAGAAAGTTTGACAGATTTAACTTTCAACAAAAAAGGAAACTTGTGCATTTCTCTTACCTAATGTGCACAAACACAGCCTAAGAGGGATATAGAATATTTCATTCCCCAAATCAAATTAATAGCAATTTTGAGTACAGGTGCTCCTCTACTTACAATCAGGTTAGGTTCCCAAAGTGTAGTTTTAAGTCAAAAATGAACCTAGAATGTACTGTACATTTGTACCCAGAATAATCACACATTGTTAGTGTTTAATCCTTAATGTATTCTACTAAGTACATTGAAGCTCATTTATCTGCTCACTACTGCTTAATAGGGGTGTTTTGAATGCAGATTTTTTTAAACTGTGCTTGCTTTTTATAAGGACAGGTTTAGTTTCCATGGTAATAGAGCAACACATTATCTGCACTATTAGATTTACTATTACGTTTTGGACACATTTCTGAAGCATTAATTGTAAAAGTTTATAAAAATTGCAAACAACAGTGAAAAACACTGTTATTCCAATGTTACCAACTTCCACAAAAATAATTAATGTGGATTTAAGACGTAGTTTAGTGAAAAACACTGTTATTCCAATGTTACCAACTTCCACAAAAATAATTAATGTGGATTTAAGACGTAGTTTAACACCACCCCATGACCAGCAAGAATATGTGAAATGTAAGTTTTAGATATATGGTCAAATTGTTCTTATAAATAAAATGAATGTATATGAAAAACATTGTCATCAACTCCTTTGCCACACAGCATGTAGAATTAAAAATGTTAATTGCATTAACTAAAATCTGTGGAAATGAAAATATACCCACATCGTCTATAAAAAATTCATAGAAAGAAGTATTTAGAGGGTTAAGATTATAAATCTTTGCATGTTTTGCTAAATTTTCTATATTGTGAAGTTTTTCAACTTAAAAATTATATTAATAAAATTTAATCTGCCACTAACTACTTAATAATAATATATCCTAGAAACTTTAGCTAAAAAAAAAAAAAAACTTAAGACAGTAAGCATATTTACTATTTGTGTTAGCTTTTTAGGAAAAATTAAAGTAAAATTTTTTATCAGATTCTGTTATTAATTTTATTTCCTAGACTCTATGGAGAAAAAACAATATTTACTAGTTTCAAATGTTTTCTTCAGCTTCTGAACGTCGGATGCTGAACCAGAAACTCTATAGATTCCAATTTCATTCATCCCTCTCCTCTCCACCTCTCGTATACAACTGGTGATGATAAACGGTACGGATGATTTCTCTTTTCTGAAAGATCAAACCATCTTTAATTACTTGTCCTTTCATATTCCTCTATTATACATGAAATTTTAATATGAAATAAGAAAAGAATAATAATTCAAAACAGGGTTTTACTCACTTGCAGACTTGTTGTATTTTAACTCCGAAAAGACCGACCGTTTTTGAAGACGGAATCCTTTGCAATATTGTTTCTGCTGACACAAATTTCAAACTGACGGTCAACATGAACTGCAAAACAATAAAATTAGTGCATGTTTTTTAGCATATTAAATCTGTAATTAAAAATAATAATCAAAATGCAAATTTTATTACTTCTTGCAAACTTATGGATTTTTCTTGCATTTTATCATTTAGCCACAAACGTGTCAGTTCTAATGCAGCCTTTCCTCTTAGAATAGCACCTTGAGTGGGATGATTCTCATAGCACAATATTCGAAGTGTCTGCGATCCTTCCAGTTCGATAACAAAATCCTAAAAAATTTATGTGGATTAAAATTGTTTGCCAAAAATTAAAAAATTTAAGAGTATAAATTTAACCTGTAAATTCAGTGCCATTGAAAAACATGTCTATGATTTCAATCATTTATTGTTACCTTAAATTGTGTAGAAGCATTAATAGCCATTTGTTAAAACTCAGTCTACTTAAAGATTGAAGCATTGTGAAGTGTGTAAACATTGGACATGCATAGTTTTTTGTTCTGTAATAATATGAAGCAAAGGAAAATGGCTGAGTTACTCAGCCATTTTCCTTTGCTTCACATTATTACAGAACAATACAAACAACCATGTTTCAAAACTGTTTCAAAATAACAGAGCTGGTGAAAGTAACTGATTTCTTAGTTGGACTGAAGTGTATGCAAAAATTTTTTACAGAGAATTTAGAAAACTTAGAATATTTAAAGGGCAAGTAAACCATCCTGTACTGTATGACAATAAAGAATTTAGAAATTGTCACCCAAAATATATTGAAAGATTTCCTAAGGAAGGATAAGACATTCTCCCTCATATACAGAGCACTGATGAAGGAGGATTACCAATAACCACTCACATCTGAACAGAAATTGTCACTAACCCTGTAGTATTTTCTAATTGAAGATCTGAGAGGTGTTCATAAGTCGACAAGTTTGAGGTAAGTAATATTATTATTATCCATAAAGCATTAGAGTATAGTTTTATTACATTTATAGTTATTCTTTCTCGTAACTGGACAATATCAGAGAGGCACAATTACAACAAGAACAGTGTAAGATTAAATGACATTGACATTATCATCAAAGTCTGTTGTGTAGACTTGGTTTCAATTACTACCAATTTAGACAACCAGCCCAGAGTGTTTTCTTTTGATCACCAAGCATGTAGTAGCCATCTCAGTCATAACAGTGTAATATCAATATCGACATACAGTGCAAGATAAAAATTATAACTGAACAAAGAGCATTAAAATCAATGTGGAAAATAAGTAATTTTCAATTTTACATTCTGAACAGATCCTGACTATTATGGAAAGAAATCAAACAAAGTAAGGTCATCTAAGTTATCTGTCTGAGATGTGTAAGTATCGCAAATACATCTGCAGCTTCTAGTCTGCTCAATAACTACTCTTGGAGTGATGGCAACATCAGATGATCTTCAATATGTGGAAATGAAAGCAAAGTCACAACTAGCAGGATTTTCTTTTGCAAAGATGTATGTTTCAAACAGTTCATTTTGGGAAAAAGTTAAATTTTTTCTCATCTATAAAGATCCTGATGGGTTTCATTGTCATTGGAATTGGAGTGATCTACAGAAAGATCGATAGCTTCTTTCTCATCAAGTTCAAAATAGAGATTGTTACAATAATAAAGACTGTTCCCCAAGACTAAAATTAAATGCCAAAGAGTGACTATCAAAATGTTCTTATAAAACATCATATGCCATTAAAATGTGAGCTAAATAGTGCTGAAGTGACTAACATGTGTGTTGATTAAGATCAGAACTGCATCATAGTGTATTGTGCCAGAAAGTAATACATCATCAAGGAACTGAAAGCAGACATCATTTCTGCTTGGAATAGAATTTTATAGGGTTGATAATATTCTCTCCAAATACCTAAGTCTTTGAACATAAAGCATTGTGATTAATAATGTTAAAAATAAGATAAAAGTTTACTCTGTGATAATATAAAACTTTTATTTGTAGTTTTTAACTTATTAATATATTTATGAAAAGGTAATAACAAACAATGCATATGCAACTATGATTTTCTCAGTAAAATTTTTTAGGAAAGTTAGTGATCTTGACTATACATACAGTGAAAGACAAAATTAAAGCATTGAATCAGTTTAAAGAAACCAGAAGTGTACACATTAAGAAATATCCAGGCCAACCTTCTATGTTGGAAGAAACCGTGGATCATTTAAAACAATCGTAAGCATGGCTTGGAGCTTGGTATTCCTAAAACAACCATACAAATTGTGCTTCATAAACATCTGAAACTGCATACTTACCAGACTTGATTTCATTCTTGAGTTGAATTCATGATTAGTAATGATACCTTAATGAAATGACAGTTGCCTCATCAAAATTGAAAAAATCTTATTTGATTGTTCAAACTCCCAAATTCTACATGTTTGTGACTCTTCCCAGATAAATGTATCATGGAGCATTTACAAATGTGTTTGGACAGGCTAGAACTTTTTCAATATCATCTTGCTGAAGAAAGATGGTATATCTATGTTTGAGATAGAATCCATTGAGTACATTTCCTGGCCAGCAAATAGCCACAATCTGGCTTCTTAAAGAAAAAAAATTCTAGAGAACATGGTCAATGCAGAAATAAAATCATCACTGGTATAGCAACTGTCACTCCTGGATGGAGATTATCATTTAGATATTAGAACACTTGTTGCTCAGTGTGTTCACAGTCATCTAACATTTGTTATATTTTAAGGAATTGTCTTGATTATTTTAAGCACTAATCAAACACACATTTTCAATTATGAATTACTTGTGAAAAATCATTAGATATCACATCATTGCAAACCTGGTTTGCCCATTATTTGTTATTGCTAATCTCCAGCTTTTACTTAACTGTTTGAACATTTTTCAGTAACAACAAATCAAAGTTTGTTGTATTGTCATTAAATTTAAATATTTTTTGCTTTCAATGTTACACACAAGTGTTCTGGAAAAAAAAAAATTGAAAATCAAGTCATGCCTAATTAATATTACCCAATATCTAGCATAAAAAACATTCTGTAATTATTACAGAACATTGGGCATGGTGACAAATTGTAAGGAACTGAGTCCAAGCGTTACTTTTTATTTTGCTTTTTATTCTATTTTTGTTCAGGGTTTATATTTTGTTAGGACGAAGGTTCCCTCAACACGAAGCACCATAGGAAAAATTCCCACGCACTTGCGCTCCCAAGCAGAAAAAAAGTAAGTCCACGCCACAAGCAGTAAAATAGGGAACTTGCTAAACCTTAAGAATTAAAATATCCCAAAAAATGTAAGAAAGAATAATATAAAAGGTTAGCGAGTATTGTCAGAAACTAGGCTGCCAGGCAAAGAGAAAAAAGTAAATGTTAGGTGTAAGTATGTAAATGAGGGGAGTGATCTCACCTCAGAGTATAAAACCAGTACCTCAAGCGAAGATGATCAAGGTGAGCTCCTGATAGCAGCAAATGAGTGAAGTCTGATAGCGATCGAAGCGATTCCAAGTGATAGAAGTTATTTCCAGTTAGAGGATCGACGATTAAGGATAAAAGGTTCCTAGTATATTGAGGTGAAAGTTAGGACCTTAGTTGATAAGACTTGTTGTATATAGGTTAAGTCCTTGAGTTTTGTCAAGTTCTAAAGGGGAATAGTGTTAAGTTAGTATGTAGATTGAATTGAGTTTTGTGAGGTTTATTCATATTGATTTTCTTTAGTAAAAAGCAAAAAACAATTTATTCAATCTTGTACATAGTTGTTACTTGAGTTACTATTAAATATTTGATCTATTATTAACTTTGTAATTAATTCTTTCGGTACATGCATAAGTCCAGGCCTGACAAATTAACCGCAAATCCACGTAAAGTACCCGTTAGGTTAACAGACATTTCACTGGCACAAAGTTTCATGTCAGTAATCGTCTTATCGATTAAATAATAGTACTTTACAAAATGCATGACTTGTTTTTTCAAATCTTTAATTATATTTCTATAGCTATCTCTAAAAGTAATACAATATTACTCATAAATTAAAAAATACAATATACTTACTTGATTAAAACATACATCAGGTGAATTTCTGCAAATTTTTGTTTTAGCCTTGTTAAAAAAATGTCCGTATGAATCTACTTCAAAGCAGAGATAGATGTCTGTAAGAATATTGAAACAATATTTTTTAACATTGTATTAGAAAAACTAAAACAATTTGTTGTCATTATTAAATACTATCAAAAGTCTCACCCGATGGCCTGGACAGTCCATGCAAACAATGTACCACTAAATAGAGGTCACCCACTAACAAATCTTCATCTTTATCTATTAGAGGAGAGAATAGATATTATATAATATCTATTTCAATAAGTTGTGCTAGAAAATCATAAAAAATGATAGTAATGAACCAAGATGATTACCTGATCTCAAAAGAAATGAACCTAGGTTTGTTCCTAAATGCTAAAAAACAAAAAGTAATATAATTAGGACATATTTGAGATAAAAAGTTTATTTTTTACACCCATCCCTTCAAGTTTAGTCTTTAATTCTGTGCAAGAACCATGTGTCATGACTTAGCCATTTCTATCATCATAATAATTCTGTTCTCTGCTGCAGATAGATCAGTGCATATTTTTGGAGTAATGCAACACTTTCAAAGATTTTACAAAAACAGTGTAACTGATAAAGGGAATAAATTCATAGCTTCAAACTTACATACAACTTAGACCATCTTTTGGGGGTTACTGTGAACACACTAGTGATGTCCATTTTACCAAATTAATGACATATAAAAATGACAACAAAACATCTGTACAACACACCACTGAAAAGGATGAGGAAAAGTCATGACATTTATGTTCCTCCACATTGCATATGGTCTTACAACCATTTGGGTCCAGATGTATCACACACACTTCATTTACCAGCTCTAAAACTGATACCAGTAATAAGTGAAGAGATTTATTGTAACATGTTCTTTGTATTATTAAAAATAATAAATGGCAAAAAGTAATGTCAGATAATATGTAATCAGAAAGTAGTACTCATTAGCTGTAATGAAGCATTATTTAAATTTTTTCCATATCTGACCTGAAATACCTAGGTAGCAGCTAAACTTTAGGGACTTTTGTCAGAAATTTTTAAATTTCTTGTGTGCTATAATATTTTAAAATACTATAAGCATTTGTCAACTTACTTTTCTACAAGATGTTATCCATGCTTGCAATTCATATGTACTAAGAGGAAGAGTGGTTGCAGGTGCTATATTAAAAAGAATTCAAATTAGCATTTGCAAAAATTATATGACAAAATGCAAGTTTGGAAATCTCAAAACACATTAAATTTCAACCTGATGACTGAAGAATGCCAATTGCTTCAATCCACTGGGTTCTCTCAAACTCTGAAGATAAGAAAAATGTGTATGTTTTGCTATTTTTTTGACTGAGACGAAATATTAAATTAGGAGAAGCTAAAACAAGTTGGGCTTCCTATAAAAAAAAAAAAAAATACATATACTAAACTTCTTTGCCTACTTACATTTTATGTATATATAATTGTAAAATAAGAATATAACTTACAAATATAAACAACCATAATCCTAATTAGTAATTACTAGTATTAATATAGCTCAATGTGATCCAACATACATTGACTATTTTATTATAATGCCAAATGATTAACTTATATGCAAATCAAAGGGAATTTATAAAAACGAGTGGTTGTCATTGCATGCTGGTGCTACAACAAAACAAGTAACTTTGCAATAGCATCAGCAATCTGTTTTATTGTTTGGGGATTATTTTTAGTTTGTTTTCTTATTTATTTTGGGGCTTTTTTTGTTAAGGATAGACTACTGCTTTTCGCCTGGACAAAATTCTAAAACAAAGAAAACAGAAAATCACCTCATGACAACAAATGACAAAGGCAAATCAAATCAAATATGTCAATCTAGAAATGACATCTCGGGAGGGAGACTTCCGAAGGGAAGTTGAAAGAATACTGTATTTAACATTTTCGCTACTCTGGTTATGTAAATAGGGTCAAGTAGACATACCAATGTAAAGTCACCGTCCCATCACTATAAAAAGAGAGACAAACTACGAAAGAATGATGTAAAGCTGAGGATCAAGCGAAGTTAAGGAAATAGGGTTTCAACTTAGACAGCAGATTAGGAGTTTCTTCTTGATGACAAGAAGATCTATTACTAAACTTCAGAAATTGTTTATTTCATGCTCTTTAATTTTAGACCTTGAATAAACAGATATCAATTTGTAAGAAATTAAAGTTAATAATAANTAATAAATTTAATAATTGATTAATGTAAATTTAATATTTTTAATTGATTAATTTCAATACAGCTTTAGTTTTAATATCGTTTTATAGATCTATGTAAAGATTATTCGGCTAAAGCGATTTCTGTTTTAGCGGAAGTTATTGGAAAATTTCTAATGAAATTCTTGTTCAATGAAGCAAATTTTTCATCATGTTCTGTATTATATATTGCTAAAGCAATCGTACTTAATATAAATGCTACTTTCAGAATGTCACATTATCAAGTAATTAAATTGAATATTAAAATTCGTGTCGTAAACATTCAGTAATCACTTAAATATAAACACGAAACTAAAATCCCAATTTCATAAAAATTCCTATCGTTGATAGAATAAGAACCAAAATAAATATTATTAAATTGAAAAATAAATTTGATTAGATTCTATTCTACAGGGTGTGACAGATTAACCTGACTGTTTTTAAATACGGTTGTAACTGAAACATTAAGGGTGAAAGAGTGGCCTGAAGTCCTAAAGTTCACAGGCTCTTTAACTCGAGGCCATTTAATAACAATTGAAATCGATGTAAAATACTGTAATAAAAATACATTTTTGTTTTGTGAAACCCTCGAGTTACATGAGCAAACTTTACCTACTGTTAAAGTTATTGTGTGGTGTGATGTAGAAATTTTTGGAATGATTGGTCCATATTTCTTTGACGAAGAAGACGGGGCTGTGACAATAAATTCAGCTCGCTGCATCGAAATGCTTCCCAGCTTTCTTGAACTGGAGTTGAGCCAGTGTGGTGTTGAATACCAGAATCTGTGGTTTCAACAGGACGAGGCAACGGCTCATACTGGAAGCAATTCAAGGACTGCGGCGGATATGAAACGGAACATCAAGAATGAAGTGGCGACAATTTCTCCTGAAATGTAGAAAGTCATACAAATCTGTACGGAACGATTGCAAGAATGTGTAGACAACAATAGACGCCATCTCACAGACACTATATTCAAAAGATGATTATTCATGAATCCTATGTTAAATGCTTTGTTGTTAAGTGTAGGATGATGATAAATTAATGTAGCATAATTACGTAACTTGTATATTATTTTAATATTAATATCCGTCAGGTTAATCTGCCCCACTTAATACAAGTAAATATAGAAATACTGTAAAAATCTTTTCATGGATCCTTCTGGTAATACTGTAAATTACTTAATATTGAAACTATCGTTAAAAAGAACTATTAATCGTAAATTTAGGAATTTGTTAGTTTATTTTCATATTTACATTTAAAACTAAATTTTTATAAAGTTAAGCTAATATACATAAATAAATAGTTTGTGTATATTTTGCAATCCACAAATGAATATAATAATTTTAAAATATAATAAAAGAAAAATTTAGTTAAAAAGGTTTCTGCGAATATATTTTACAATATTTTACGAAACTTCTTACATAAAGTATTTAATTTTGTGTACGCTTATTAACTATTACTTAACTTCATTTTATAATAACACTTTAATATATTTGTTTTATTCATCTATTTATTATCGATTACTTAAGCTTATTAAATGAGTAAACTGATTATATTCAACAATAATTGCTTCACTTTAACAAAACAATCACGTATTTATTATCAATTTCACTAATGTCAGTTGTTATCATTTTTGTTTATATACTGTATATATAGGCACAGCAAACAATCCTCCGCTTTTACAGCCTAATTGCTTCCTGGGAAACCCGTCGTTGAACAAACTATCGCAAATCGAACTCCCGTAGGTTAAATGTCGTAAATTTTAGTTCTATTTTCATGTCGAAGTGGCTAACAAAACATGGTGCTTAAACATGGCATTTTCATAAATCATAACAGAAAATTTATACTAGTCGTAAAAGCTGTCTATTATGTATATATATGTATATAAATTTATGTGCGCAATTTTCAAAGTAAATTTGTAGATTATTTATCATAATAATGTCCTAAAATTTGTAAAAAAAAATCATACACTAGAAAAATGATTTACATGGTGCTATTACTGAGCAGTAATTTAGAGACACAAAAAATATATATTAAAAAAACCTAAGAGTTTATAATGATGATAGAAATTTTGTCATTGAATAGCAACTGCTGTTCAAATAACCATTTGTAGAATATTGCAACAGTTTAATTTGAAATAGTCTTTATTACATATATGGTTTTTTTTTTTTTTGTTCAAACCTGTAATGTAAGAGTGTGTCACAAAAAAAAAGTTGAGAAACCTCAATCTTACAAAATGTTTTGAAAAGCTTTGTATTTGCTTAGTTCTATTGAAAACATTTGTATAAAATCTGTTTTAAATGTATTGACTTGTTTGTTGACTTTTAAACTGCAGTGCTAGTAATACCACCTACATCACATAAGCAGTATTTTTCCCTATTAAGAACACAAAGAATACACACTGAAAAAGTGGAAGCAAACCATATAGTTTTAAGAATTCCAGTTTACATTTTTCAGAAGAGATAAAAGCAAATGAAGAGTACAAACTAAAGATTATTGTTGATTGAGTTCACCCAGTAATGCTTCATGTTTACTCCAACAGAATCAAGTGTATTTCAAATATAACTCAATCACTGAGCCAAATGAAATAAAAAAATAGTTTGAAATTACTATTTCTCAGACCATCTCATGCATATCTCAATCCAGTATTTTGTGAGATGAATTTTTTTTTTTGTCAGTACAATCTTCATCTAAGACCTTTTAAAAAATTCAGTCTTATTAAAGAACAGATTAATATTCTTTGTGACATCTTTGAACTCAATTCCGTATCAGTGAATCAAATTTATTTTTGTCTAGAATTATTTACATAAAATATTAATATGCTAAAAGTTATTATTTCATTTAAAGTTTTGTCTTTTTTCCTTTGGTTCAATCATAAAAACATTAAATGTATATTAATCAACTGAACAGCCAGAAATTATAAGTCATTTTTATACTATAATTGGCACCAGTAGGTAAGATTTTGTGATAACAGCACTAATAATTAAAAACTTAATTATCACCTATCTTTAGTGGCAAATTATTCAATAATTGAACTGAATTATAGCGTAAAAATAGCCTGTAATTTCCAACAGTTGAATTGATTAATACTCTATATAAAGTATATAATTGTTACATAACAACAAATCATTAAGCTCTAAGTTTNGTGAAAAACTTCTTTAAAGAATTCAAAGAATTTTTTACTTCACCGTTTTTTTCCTTTGCTGTATGGACATAAATGTACAGAAAAATGCTAGTATTTAAAGCTATATTATTGATTAAAATATTAAAAACTCACTCGTAAATATTATGTAATTTCATATGAAAGAAATATTTATTTTTAAAACTTTTATTTGACGAAGGAATTTATTATTATTGAATTAATTTCAATGATTAAAATAAGACGAACGCTTAAGATGTCAGCCTGCTGCTCTGGAAAATTCGAAACGAATCCGGCCAGGTCGAAAAACCCCAGGAATTTTTTCTCCTCGACGTTTCAAGGTCGTCTGAGTACAAAAATGCAAAAATCTTGAGAGGGGTCCTTATTTGACCGATAGCCACACTTTCTTTCCGTCCTTTCGTTATATAAAATAGCTGGGAAAGTAAAAACATTAAAATAAATCAATAAATTGAAATTCATATGCGGTTACACAAATTTTATCATTTATCTTTATTACCAATATAAAATTTTTACGAGATTATTTATTATAAAATATTTTTATCGATTTTATGATTTTAGTTCCGGCCCATTTTGAAGATCGTCCTTCGAATAAAACTGTTGGTTTATCCCAAGAAACAAATTTAAGATGTCGAGCTGTAGGAGACAAGCCAATGACAATAATATGGAATAAAAATGGGCAGCCCATTAACATGAAGTCAAAAGTGAGGTAATGAAAATCGCTTAAATTTTTTATAATTTATTTAAATTTTTTATCTATTTAATCTTTATTAATTATTGTTGAAATCATACTATAAATACTAATCTTTATATTCTTAAACGAAATGTTATAAATATTCGTGATTTTGGAATATTTTTTCCAAATTCAAAAATAAAGTGACAATGGTTAAATAATTCAAAAACTTAAAATATTTCAAAAGTTCACGAAAAAATGTTCTCTGAAATAAATAAATTAGAAGTTGACGACCACTTCACATTTACAGAAAGTGGACCAACTTCTAAACACCTTTTATTGTAGACTGTGGTAGAAGAAACAATATTATACTCTGTCGCTACTTGTTTCCATTTTCTAGTCACCATATTAAAAATTTACATATTGTAAAATTTAAAGAAGAAATGGCAATAGTGAATTCTTAAAATGTGTGAAAATATTTATTGAAATATTTTTATATCACACACTTTTTATTAAAACATAAAACATATCTAATTATAATAAATATATCAAACGAACAGCAAGATTCATTTATTGGGCTATTAAGAGATAGCGTGATGAAGGAAATCGGTTGTTCATTTGATATTTGAAGTAATTATCGAGTTAGTTGTATTTATTATACAATAAATATAACTAAAGAATAAAGCAATAATAACTATTTCATATAAATAATGGTCATTAATATGCTTTAACAAAGTCAATAGTGATAAAATTAAATTTAAGCTTTTATTATTATTATTCAATCCTCGTAATATTTTGATGGAAGCACTCAGATACTTTACATAGATCTAAGTTTTTTAAAAAAGAAAAATCAAAGTTAGAATTCGGAAAATTTAATTTGAGGAAAATACATCCTAAATCATGAAACGACTCTACCATTAATGCCACAATTTCTTTATAATCTGGAAATCTTACGTCTCCAAAAACTTTTCTGTAACCAATTTAAATCGTATTTAGTCGGAAGGCACTGTTTTTTTTCCGATTTAGTGTCTATTCAAATAAGTAGTCTATTATTAATAGTCTAATTTGAAGATCATTTAAATCCTTTCTTTAGTTTCGAAACGATCATTTTCTAGAATTTAAAAGAAAAAATATTTTGCAAATTCACTGAAAAGTATTTTATATTATCCATTCAAAATGAAAGTGGCAATGCAGCAAATATTTACAAATTTATTTCCTCTTAAAATTGCATCGAATACGAGAAATTTAGTTTAAAAATCTCTGTAAGAACTAACTATCGTTTTAAATAAGATAAAAGTATTAAATAAATATATGAATTTACAGAAATAATATTTTAATATAAAAATCAAATTTAATTTTATCGAACAATTTGTTAGATATAAATAAAATTTCCAGATAGTAAAAATAGAAATTGTTGCTTCAGATATAGATTTGATCTTCAAGATATAAATGTGAACATTATAGATATGTTATAACCCAAATATAGGTCTATTTATACAATAAAATACTAAAAATATTTTTTATTGAGCTTTCAAACGAAAGAAAAGGTATATTAGGTATTGACTCTATATAATAGGACTACTTCATGTGACTATTTCCTTTAAAAAATCTAAAATTTGAACGAAAGATTTGATTTTAAGTGTTTTACTATTCGATAATTAACTATTATAATGAGATATAAAATGAATTTTTTTAATTTTTATATTATCAAGAATAAAGAGACAAGATACATTATCAGGAAGATTCACTCACAATTTTCAAGCTTTAAGAAAAGATAAAATTGCTTATTTCTTTTGTATGTTGCAATTTGTTAGTCTGTTTGTATTTAAAAAGTTTTAAAGCTAAAATGTTTGATATTTAGGATATATTCTAATTGAAAAAACAAGAAAAAAGGAAAAAATAAACGTTATACAAATCTCATTAAATTATATTCCTCTTCAGACTAATTAGTATTTGAGAAAAACTAAGTATCTTGAAGATAGATCAAATAATAAGACGTACGGGATTTTATAATGATATCTTTAAAATTATTTCTAAAGCAGCTTTAGATTTATATATAGATTTTTCTTGCTTACTTTTTCAAAATGGCGGACGTTTAAATAAATCATTCACAATTCTAAATCTAAATTTCTATTGTTGTATTAGCGCCGACTGCAGCTGCACTTCGACGAAAAATCAAAGCTTTGGAAAAATACTGTGAAGACTCTAATTTAAAAATTAACCCAAAAAAATNAATTACATTTATAAAAATTATTAATTTATACTAGACAAAAATAAAATAATTTTTATACATACCAGTTCAGCAAGCTTCTTCTTTTGCTTATCTAAATTTCTACCAGCAACTTTTTGCTTCTGAAAAATTTAAATTTAATTCAGTCATATAAGATAGTGTTTCTAATAACATGTTTTGAGCAATTTTTCCAGTTTACCATTTTATCAAAAATTCTTAAACATTAAAACATTTTAAAATTTTAAGAGTTCATTCTACTTATAAAAAAAGATTTAACATTCATTTTAAGAACTTAAGGCTGATTGTAACCTCTTTGGTTATGCACATGATCTCCAGCAGGTGGCATTAAAAATGTAATGCTTTTTCTATGGGAACTTCTTCATCTAATTCTTTTTTCTACTAAGTTTTGAATTGAAATAACATGGCTTCCAGTTGCAGTGAATGTTCATATATAGTTAATTGAGGCTTCCTGCTCCTAAGGTTTCCATATCTGGTCTCAGATTTCAGCTATCTAACTCTGTTCTTGAGATTAAGGAAATCTAGATGATAGACATGACAGTGGGAATTTATATATCGGATTGATCGACATAGGCATACCTCATGAAAAAGAAATCAGTTATGTCAATTAATCTGATTAACATCTGTGAGTAGTGTTGTCGTTGTGTTGAATGAATGATTCCAGGAGAGACAATGGAGTCCAATAGTCATTGTCACGAGCTTATTTTACAGAACTAAAGTGGTCAGATGCCATGTTGCCAACTGCCACAATCTAATCTTTCATGTAATATTTGAGTTTATTCCTTATTCTACTCTGTAAATGTAATATTGTCGTCTTCCTCCACGACCCTTTTACTTCTAAAAATTTGCATATTTGTGTTAAATTAATATAAAATAGTAGGACATTTGATTGTTATTAACTCTGATTAACACTTTATATTAAATTTGTAATATTCACTAAGAGTTTGTATGCTTTTAACATAATTATTAACTAAATTTTATTAATATTTATTAAAAGACATTCCAACAGTTTCCTTGTAAATGTCATTGTGACCATCTATCATTAATTTTATTAAAAATAATTTTTATATAATAATTAATAATATAAAAATTATTAGTACAGGTAATCCCCGTATAACACAGCACTTCTATAGCATGGATTCACTCTAACATGGTTCGAGAATTGGGTAAAACCCTCATACAACATGAAATGTAATAAATTTTCACATACTTAAGTACTAATAGTTCATGAAAATAATAATTTTCGTGAACTATTAGTACTTAAGTATGTAAATCTTCTTTTCTGCCTTCTGTTGATACGCGTAATCCTTCTCAAAACTTGTTTCAGTGTTGCCAGATGTTTTCCCTTATTCCATACATATAAGGAAATTTATAAAGATGTTTTAAATAAAAGCAAGCAATCTAAAGTAACATTTTTTGCAAAAGGTAGAGCACTGATCTGAAGATAATGCAGAAAAATGCTCAGAGGATAAGGATATCTTGCCAAAAAGAGAACGCCCTCAGTTAACAGTGCTTGGTGATGACAAAGAAAACATTGCTTAATTTATATTAATATGTATCGCTTAAGAAAATTTTAATAAAGATATTTATTGTAATTATGAAAATATAATAGCATGTTTTTTTTAATTTTTGGAACCCAACCCCCCTTTTTGTACTAGTTCTTTGTTTTGTATAACACGGATTCGCATAACACGGCAATTTTTTGGAACATAACTCCTGTGTTATATGGGGGTTACCTGTATTAGTGAAAGGCAAAAGACTTAATTTTGAGGGTAGAGATGAGTTTCTCACAAAACTGTAAATGCCAATAATGAATAAAATTTTCAATTAAATCTGACCCCACTTGAGATGAACCATGACCACCTGTATTTCCCAACTCCCTTGACTTAACTACCAAAATTTAATAGCATCAATGCCCATTTATCGTCCCAAGTTACAAAACTTTTGGAAACAGCCACCAGTACACACCCCTTATAAAACTGTGTGTGTTCGAAATGTCACAAAATGCAAAAAAATCAGGGGACAAAATTTGACCAATCACCATACTTTCTCTATATTATATTCTATAACAGATGGAAAAATAATTTATCTTTAAAGGTAAATTACATTTTAAAGATTATTGAAAATAAAATGGAAGTGTTAAAATTAATTATACAGTAGAGCATTGTTTATCCGAAAGCATTCCAGTCAGTAAATTTAAATTTTCGCTAGTGCTGTGGCGCTGCAATCTTTGGCTATATCTTGGGCTACTCCAATATTTTTTTTGTTGGTTTTTTTTTAGCTGGCAGCACTGGCACTTTTGAGTGTTGTTTTTCTGAGGATGTTTTTGATACTAGATCATCTTCTAAAGTATATATTTTTTGGTTTTTATATTTTTCAATAAATAAAGAAATAATTTTTAACAATACAATAGCCACGATTATTATTTTAAAAAGTATATGTTAGGCTTAACATCGACAAAAATTCAACGTGAAGCGATACGCAATGGAGAAAAATTTCAACATGGGATAGGTTAATATATTTTTTTGTGCATAATCGGTTATCCGAAAAATAAGTTATCCGAACAACCTCAGTCCCAACTGATTCAGATAAATGACGCTCTACTGTATAACAAGTAAAACAGCAAAACCATATTTGGGACAAGACTATGTCTCGGAGACAGAATCACTTTGATGCTCAAGGCAGGTCTCATTCTCATTCTCCTATCTTCTTTGATATCGCTGCTTTTGGGCACCGGCCATGACATCATCCACGATTCATCTCTGATGAAATTAACCTATCTAATTTCAAAATTTCTCTTTGTTCCGTCTCTCTGGCCTGGGTTGAATTTTTGACGATGCATAACGAAAAGTTTTCGTTTTTGAAAAAAATAATTGTGGCTATTGTATCATCTGAAATTATTTTTTTATTTTGCACAAACAATATACAGTTTAACCCAATTATAATGTCATCAAATGTAATGACAGCCCTAATATAATGTCAAATTTTTATCGGTCCTACGGTTTTACTATGCTAGATAATGTTAAAAAAACTCACTTGTAATGACATAAAACCATTTTAACATCATATTTGAAGCACTCCCAAATTTACAAAATCAGATTACAAATTTTATTTAACCTTTCAACAGTGGACTAGACAGGTATGGTTCTACCCCTAGTAGTGGAGAATAAACGTAGGAAATTTTTAAAGTATTTTTCCTTGTGTTTTTTTCATTACTGTTTAGGAAAAAGATTTTGTAAACTGTTATGTCTAGTAAAAAAAAGTCGTTTTTAATTGTTACATAATTTATTTTTTATCTGAATTATTTTCCACGGTAGTTTTAGGTGATACCCCTCAAAAGCCTTTGATGACTATAGACGTCTCTCACCACTGCCACACGATCGACCTTGATGTTAACATAGAAGAAACTACATGTTCGGTCCTAAGGTCAGAGTTCACTTCTTAGAATGACTGCGGGTGGTACTCTCCCATACCTGACTTCGGTGGGGTGAGGTGGCTGTTTTGCCTGTTTGTAGAAGAGGGTCGCCATTTTGTATTTTATTTTGACTCGATTCTCAGTTCCTTGACTACCTATGAGTCTGGATTTTTTTATGCACAAATGATTTGGGCACCTAATACTCTGTGCCAAATATCAACTCTCGACATGTATTTCTTCATACCTCTATGCTGGTAAGAAAATCGGGCAGTACGATTTTATAAACAAGATATAGTCTTGTCAAAAATACTTCTTTTTGTTACAACTTTCTTTCATGCATTATAAAATAAGATTACTTAAAAACATTAAAATAGCTACTTACATCTTTGGCTTGATGAATTCGTTCTTCTTTTAAAATCTGGTCTCTAACATTACTAGCTCGTGATTTTAACATTAAAATATCAAAAGGTGAATTCTCTTGTGCCGTTTCTTGATCACCTAAAAAATAGTAATATTAAANACATCAAATATAATATATAAAAATACAAATGTAAATAGAAAAAAAAAGAAAAATGACAGTGTTTGTTTTCTAGTATTTTTGTTCTAAGAATTATAAAGTATTTGTTTAAAACAACTAAAATCTTCATGTAATAAATTTTTAAAATTATCATATTATGAGAGATGCAATAAAAGTATGATCTTTGAGAAATGCTTAGTTTATAAAAGGGAGTAAAAACACATGATGTGTTATGCAGTTCTGTTGAGGAATTATTAATCGTAGCCAATCCGACTGTATGTTTCTGTTAAAATATTTATGGAAGTGCAAACAATCAAAGTATTTGATGTGCTCTTTAAAAACCAGAAGACCCAGTCTGGACCTGGTGATGTTTGGATGATAAGTACATAGTACATTGCAGAGTAAATTTAAAGTTAAATAAAGTTTGTCAAATTCTTTCATGATTTTATTTAAAAGAGACAGTGCAGCCATGGCCCAAATTGATAAACTGTAATCTACAATAAACTGAAAATTTGTGAAAAAAATAGTGTGTAGCACATTATTCGATGAAATGTGTTTACAGAATTGATAGGTGATGCCATGATGTATTGCTAAACGCTTTTACTATTTTATCGATGTGACACTTAGCATAATTTTTGACAATAAAATTACAATTGAGATTATTTATGGAATTGATGTATTTTAAAGGATTTGTATTAATAGAAAATGGTGGAAAAGGGGTATTCCAAATGAGAAACACATTACCACAGTTTTATGAGTGTTAATTTTCAGATTATATTTTTGGTAGAGTTCTGACAAATGATGTAAATTTTGTTGAAAGACGTCCATGTTCTGAATTATTATTCTGATATCATTAATAGTAGATTTGAGTTAGCCAAGAATGTTGTTTATATAAACAGAGAAGAAAAGGCAACTTAATAATGAACCCTGTTGTAATATACAAATTGATGCAAAATCTAGAAACTCAAATTTTCCTATTTTAATTTTGTAAGTACTGTACATGATAGAAAGTAATTATTGAACCAGAATTGATAAATGGGGCCAAGATGAGTTGAAAGCTTGCCTGATGTCTAAGTGACCAACATAAATGGGGCGTTTTCTTTCTAAGTTATTGATGATTACTGATAAAATAGCGAATAAATTAGTGGAAGTGAAGTGATGATGGAGCACACAGTGTTGAAATGGGTAGGTATATTTTTCGGTAGACACAAATTTAAAATATTTTGAGCATAGCGGGCAATATGGTAATAAGGTGGTATAAGATTTTGTCCTTTTTTGGAATGGCTTTTATAGAAGATGAATACCACTGTTTAGGAACAAAACTAAATCTGGAAAATTTTGTGAATAATCTAGATAATATGATTGCAGACATGGGTTTTACTTGTAGAAGATAGCAGGTACATAGTCTGAACTAAAATTAGAAATTTTTAAAGTATCTGTTGCATCAATCATGTCAGAAAAGGAAAAAGAATGGTGGTATCTATTTGAGTGTGATTTGAATTTGGTCTTTGGTAAAATATTAGTGAATCTATTTTTGAAATTATTCTATACTTTGTAAACCTGTTGGTCCAGTACAACAGATGATTTATAGGAAACCTTTCTGGAAAATTTAGGTATAAAACTCCAAAAGGTCTTTGAGTCAGAAGCAAAGGAGCTGATTATTTTATTAAAATAATTTTGAAAAGAAATGTTGCATTCTATGTGGAACTGTTTTTAAATGACACAGTGTATATATATATATATATATATATATATTTCACAGGTTGCTGTATTTTTTCCATTGTCTTCTAAGTAGGTTTCTTAGTTTTTTAGACGTGTAGGTGGGGAAAACCATTTGTAAGTCAAAGTTTCAAAATTATGGACCTTTATTATTATTTATCACATTAGATGAAACTCTATATAGTTAATATTCATGATTAATCATGTCTGCAAGTTATCCAAGATAAATTATGAAAGCATACTTTGTCAACAAAGCAGTATAATTCACTTTGCAAATCTTGGCCAGGTAATCAAAACAGGCTCTAGAAGTTTTAAAAAGAATGATGACTTCTCATAACAGTATGAATTGTTAAAAATATTGAAGAAATTTTAATTGTATGGTAGGTTTACATTTGCATTAATTTTATTTACAAAAATGTTTAAAATTATACTTAGCATAAAATTTTGATAAACAATAAATAAGTCTAAGTAAGTAGTAATCTAAAAATTCAGTACATTATACATGTTACTGCATACAAATCCAGTTTATTCAACAATTTGCAAAAATTTCCATCTTATATTAAAAATTTTTTATCCATATTACCTCAGACAACCAGAACTCAATTATATTTAAAATACAATAATCTATATTAAAATACACATGGCCAAGAAATTGAAGGATGAGTATTTAATTAATCGTATTTTATTGGTTCTATAACATTTAGTTTTAATTAATATGTATTCAACAATTTTTTAATTCAACTTTTTGATGATGTAATTAATCTTTTAAATTTTTATTTTGAATATTTATTTTTTTTAAAGTTAATAAAATAAATTAGTTTACTCAAAAACTTACTTTCATGACTTGGCAATACAACCTCTACTAAAGGTATATACCATTTTATTTCAAATGTAAACTTTTGCCTGAAATATTTAAATTTACAGATGTAATCAAACATACTGAAATAAATCATTAACTAAAATTTTATAAATGAAACTTATAGTTAACAATTTTAATTTTTATCATTATTTACCTAGCAGAAGGTTTATATTTGGCACAAACAACAACATCATTGAATAAAAACAAATGCCTCAACTTGCGATGGCCTTCCGATAACTCTACTATGAAACTGTTTTTGACCAAGTGCCTTTGTGCTCTGTCTGGAACCTATCAAAAAGAATAGGTCATTTTTTAAAATTATAATAAAATTTTAAGGAAACCTTTTTTATAATATTGTAAATTAACTCCTTGAAATTTGTAAAAATATATTGAAACAAAATTATTTTATGATTTACATTATTTTCATAGCCACTTTTTTCAAGTAATTTTTTTCCATCCAGCAATCAACAATATGGATAGCTGGATGATGGAGAATATATAACTGGGTCAACTTTTCCATGAAAATTTTTGAGCCACTAAGAATCAAGCCTGAATCTCCCAGGATAGGCTGGGAATCAGGGCTTCTACATCTGAATCATCCTTCTATCATTTCATAAGTACTTAGAATAACGCATCTAAGAATTAAAATCCAGAATAACAGACTTCTTTAAATGCAAATAATATAAAAAAAACATAAAATTTAAAGGATATTAATTTTTTTTTAATTTTGTGATTTTTAAAACATTTAAATTAACTTTGTCATAAAGTTTTTACAAATAGGAAGTCTGAAGAAGCTTTAAAATTTGTAAAACGAAGAAACAAAATCATGTTTTTTTTTTTTTAATGATAAAACACTTCAAATTACAAATGTAAACAAAGTTTACATTTGTAATTTGAAGTGTTTTATCATTAAAAAATATACTACCGTGTTTCCCCGAAAATAAGACAGTGTCTTATATTAATTTTTGCTCTGAAAAATGCGCTAGGTCTTATTTTCAGGGAATGTCTTATTTTTTCCAGGAAGAAGAATTCACATTTATTATTGAACAAAAAAATTCCCAAGTCGAACTTAGACGAGAGTGACGTATATCCGGTGTGTCGAACTGTCGCCTTTTTATAGCGTCAACATCGGACTCGATGACCAATTAGTGCTTACTGAACCGTAGCACTATGCAAATGTCATGTGGCGTGATTCCCGGCCGACCAATTAGCCATCACCAGCCGTAACGTTATGCAAATCTGTGATTCCCAAGCCATAGTCTTATGCAAATCATGCCGTGTGGCGTAATTGTCTGCTGACCAATCAGTGGCTGTACTTTCAAAAATCCAACGGCCACTTTCAACCATTTGTCGATGACCGTTACGACTAAAAAAAACTTCGCTAGGTCTTACTTTCAGGGGGAGGTCTTATATTTCGCAATTCAGCAAAATCTGTGCTAGGTCTTATTTTCTGCGGATGTCTTATTTTCGGGGAAACACGGTACAATACCATAATGTTTTATCATTAAAAAATACTACAATACTCTTCAAATTACAAATGTAAACTTTGTTTACATTTGTAATTTGAAGAGTATTGTAGTATTTTCTAAAATTTGTTTGATTATAAAAATGAATTAGATATAAAATTTTGTTTTGCTACAATCATATCATACTTACTGGAAACATATTATCAGTAGCAGTAAAATTCAAATCATTCAAGAAACACTGAGTCATTTTTAATGCCAATTTCAGAGTTTTTTGATCAGGACAGGACTGGGGAGTGTATCTTAATAAATCCTATAAACATAAATTGTGAAAATTATGCTTTAGTTATGTAATAATGCAATATAAATGAAAATTATTTATATATAGCAATATATTATCCACAATTTAAATTAAAAAATACAATATTTATGAATTTCTGAAAAAACAACATTCACTTTGAATATTTAAAATTATTTTTGTTCAAATATTAAAATAATTCCTAATGTATTCAATACTCAAAAAACACAAGTATTCAAATCAATATTAACATTCAGCAGGATATTTTTATTTAACTGATATTTTTGGTTTTTTATAAGGGATCATCACATTACATCAATATAAATAAAATTAAAACTTCAAAAAACTCATTTTTGTATATTAAAAAGATTTATCAAAGTAATAATTTAGACAGTCAAGGAGTTAGAGTAGTTAAAGTATGTTATATATTTTTTAAGTTAACAAAAGCACTAAATTTTTGATAAAAATTCTTTAAAAAATTTAGTTATTTCTTAGTATAAATAGTATCATTTTTAGAATTCTTTAATGAGGAAACTCTCAACTCACTACAAAAACTAATGACATGATTAAAACTCAAAACCATCTTTCATATAAAATACAGTGATGAACTCAGTGTAATGATGAGATAATTACTTGGGAAATCCTGCTTTGGAAATTATGTCAGCAATTAACTACAGGAAGCCAAAGTTTAAAACATTTTTTTCCATTACAATGAAACCAAAAATTTATATCATAAAATTTTATATACTTATTGGTTATAATTTTGTTTTAAAAATATTCATATAGAATTTCATTTTTGTAAAAATTGGAATTAAATAAGGTAAATTTCCATGCTATGCATTCCTTTAAACATTCACATTTAATACATTAATTTTTTATAAAAAAGACTGGGTATTTTTCATCAAACTTCAGATCTAAATTCTGTATTGAAATATTGCATTATATTTATTCCTTTACTGAGACAGCAAATTGAATTGTTCAACGTTCCATATTTGCTGGAATATTTTTCAACACATATTTTTATTTGCATCTGAAAGAGAGAAAAACAATGACCTGCAAACAAAATATATCCTAAATACTTTATATGTTGAAATTATCTTTAATATTAAAAATCAGCAAAGTCTAATATAAATTAGTATAACATTATTACATAGTGGAAATATACTTGTTTAAACTCTATTTCATCTTTAACCAATACTGTATTTAGATACTTAAAATTTATTAGGTTAATGAAATCTGTCAATAATCTACACACTAATCAAACATTACATGATTTGCAAGTCCATAGAATAATTGTTATAGAGATTCAATTTTAAGATGCAATATACAAAATGTTAAAGTATTAGATTGGCATTTAAATAAGTTATAACAACATTTTTCAATGAAAATCTGATGTATAGGTTAAAACTTCCTCTACAAAAATCAGACATCATGTCTAGACAGCAGTAAATTTTAAAATATCCTTTATGATAAGCATTATGGTTTCATTTTCTCATTATTCTTAAATGTTAATTACACTACAGGAAAAATATATTCAAACTTAATCAGTCATTAATCTCATTAAAATGAAATAAATAAATGTTAAATACAAATACAAATTCTAAACTATTAAGATAAATAGAACCATTGCCAGTATAAAAAGGAGAGCAGAATAAAGTTATTATACATCAAAATTACTATTGCATAATAGATATAAATTTTAATTAATAACAACATTAAAAATTACTACTTTAATTAATTATATATATCTTATATTTCATTATGTTAAAAAGCAATATTTGATTTTTCTTTATAAAAATGAAATAAAATTTAAAAAGAAAACATTATATTCTATTTCGTTTGATTTAGAAATATTTAGGTAATTAAATGATAATTTAAAATCTTTTGTTTTTGTCAATTTAAAACAATTACTTTGATATTTTATGAAACCTACTATTGTAAGGTGATGTGCACATATTGCAATGATAAATTTTGCTTCATTTTTTACGTCCACCTTCCGTTTTATACAATTCATCACCACTACTTCCCTCTCCCCATTTGCCTAATCATGTGTACAACAAATGTCAATTAACAACCAAATATTCCAAAATAAATGAATTATTTTGTATGCACAAACACTTGGATGACCTCCCCCGTGCCAGCTTTCATCAACACCCTCATGACACCCCGATGTCATTGCAAGAAATGCATGCTGCCTAACTAACAGTTTAGCTATTCTACATCAAACTTTTTCCTAATTTATCATTAATTTACAAATAATCAATACAATTATTTACACTAATTCTAAAATCATTTTATTTTTCATAAACATGTATTAATTCTGAAGTAATATAATTCCTTTTTAATATAAGAGAAGTTACTCAAATAAGAAATACATTACCCTAACATTAATATATTAATATCTGGTCACTAAAATTTTAAAAAAGACACATTATTTATTATATTTCTAATATCATGATACTAAAACCTGCTATAATGGTTTTTCCTCTTTGTGACATACTCTCCACCAATTGTTTATAAATATTCAGTCTAACACAACCATCAAGTTTAGATTTGTTCTTTGTATGGTCCTTGTATGCACAGAACTGACATTCAAATCTATCCCAAAGATGCTCATTAAAATACAGACTAGGGCTTGGGCTGACCAATCCAACTTTCCAATATTTATGCCTACAAACCACACTGTTACAACCAAAGTAATGTGGAAGGTGCATTATCTTGCTGCAGATGTAGGGACCTTCCTTGAAGTACTTATAATGTTGAAAGTGTATAATTGTCCAAAATGTCCAGATACCACACAGCATTTATAGTTTTATCAATAGCAATTAATGGGTTCAAGCCATGCCATGCTATTTCCTCTATCAAACAAACTCTTTTGTTGGGATGATACAATCTGGAAGGAGCTCTTCCCCCGGTATTTACCACATCTGGATATAGGCATCTGACTGGTAGATTGCAAATCTTGATTAGACCAGTGAAAATCCTTTCAATGGACAGATTTAAATCCAGCATTTGCATTCCTTACACTATGTCAATTGGTATCTAGCATTAGTCATGGTGATTATTGGCTTAGAAATAGTTGCACAGCCATTGTAACCCAGAATATGAAGTTCTTCATACCATATTTGTCCTGACAGTCATTCCAGAAATCTCACATAGGATTTGTGCAACCTAAGACAATGGTAATATACAGCTTGTGCACACTAACATACTCTTGAGACGCTGGAACACTAACAATAAGCAACTCAACACCTTCCATACTCTTTCCAGCTTTTTGCTAGAAAAACTATAGGAAGTGTTGAGCTGCTTATTGTGCACACTGTTTTGCACAAAACTCTCTTGTCTCTCTGTTATTTTGAGAGGTTTTCTAGCATGTTTCTTGGAGAATTCAGCCCAAGTTCACTTCAGTTCGCATATGATATCATCAACTGTTGACTTCAGAACCCCAAGACTAACTGCAATATCTCATACAGAACATTTGTAAATGTGACCTTGGATCTACTATCATTCCATTTTGAAAGTTGGTTAATTTCACTGAATGTGGTATTTTGCAAGTTCCCTTTTGTTATGGTCTGTTCAAAGCCCAGCAAATGTGTTTATAGCCAACACAGTGCTTACTTTGCATGCAATCTAGCAGTGTCTGGATATTAATTTTTTGTACAAGAAAGTTGCCAACTTTCTTGTACAAAAAAGNAAAGAATTTTAATACAATTTTTATTTACTAAAAATTATTTTAAAGTAATTTTTTCATGAAACAATATATTTTAAGCCAGTACATAGAGTAACAAAGAGGAGTTTTGGTTACATTTGCTGGGAAAAGGGTAAACTGAATGTACCAAGTTTTCTTCTACTTTTAGCCAATGCACAGATAAGTTGTTAAATTACATCTTGAAAAACTCTAAGTTTGAAAAACAAGTAAAATTATATCAGTGTTTTATGTTATTGTATTAGTATAATTATTAGGCTACTAAGCATACAAAATAAAGAAGAAAATTCAAATTATTTTGTTATCACTTTCATCACAATTCATCACAACACTATAGCTATACAACTCATCTTCCTATCCATGACATACTAGACAAAGTGTAATATTTGGATATATTCCTTTTTTTTGGAAAGTATGGTGTCTTAAAGGCCAGCAAATATGTATTTACTGCAAGTTATTTGGAAGATTATGAATCTAAACTTTGTTATATCAAACTATGAAAATCAAAGAATAAATTCTGAACTGATTTTCTATTGTGAATAACTATTAACCATTTTATATTATTTTCAATTTTTTGAAACAATGTATTTTTCTAAGATAGTTATATTAGAAAATATTTATGGTAAAGCTTAGTTCACTCCGAGTTCGATTCGCTGGAAAAAGTGAAAAACAGAGCAAATAACACATCAGACATGACATCATTTCTGGCAAATTTACCATTTTGCAAATTGTTTTGAAGTTTGGAACTGCTTTTTGCTAGTGAAAAAATTTTGCCACCAATTGTATTCCTGCTAGTTATCACATGGTTCTTGTTTTCAAGATGGCTACAAAACTTTCTCATGCAATAGAATATTGTAATTTATGGTTTTTTAATATTCCACTCACACATCATCATTTTCTTTTTGATATGTCTTTTTTTTCTTGGTAAATAAACATGACTGGCTGCTTTCAATATTCTGTTGTTAGTCGTTTTGTTTTTCAAGATGATGTTTTCTCTTGCTTGCAAATGATTGGTGCTTAAAATTTGCAATTGCTTTTCACTTTTGGTTGTGCAGATCAATTTCTCTAAGCAAATAAAAATCACTTTTTACTATTCTCATTCACTTTCCTTTTCATTCAATGTGAACTAATCTTAACATTTTTCAATTGCTTTGATTCTTGTAAAAAAAAAACTGAAAATTAGGGAATAATATATTTATATATATATAATTATAATATAATATATATATTATATTTCATCAATAATCAAGTAAATATTCTAAAAAAAATACTACAGAACATTTTTCCAAATATTTTCAAGCTTAATAATGCAGTGTTTTGTGTGTGTTATATATTTGAATAGATAAGTCATATTTTAATGAGTTTAATATAATTTTTATATAACATAAAAATACTGAAGAGGTAATTTCCTTTAATTAATCAAATTTTATGGAAATATTTTTTAATAGATTTATTTATTTTCTTTAAAAATAAAAATGTCATGTATATGACAAAAGATTTCCACTCCTCAATTAACAGTATAACCCAGATACATCAAATATAATATATAAAAATACAAATGTAAATAGAAAAAAAAAGAAAAATGACAGTGTTTGTTTTCTAGTATTTTTGTTCTAAGAATTATAAAGTATTTGTTTAAAACAACTAAAATCTTCATGTAATAAATTTTTAAAATTATCATATTATGAGAGATGCAATAAAAGTATGATCTTTGAGAAATGCTTAGTTTATAAAAGGGAGTAAAAACACATGATGTGTTATGCAGTTCTGTTGAGGAATTATTAATCGTAGCCAATCCGACTGTATGTTTCTGTTAAAATATTTATGGAAGTGCAAACAATCAAAGTATTTGATGTGCTCTTTAAAAACCAGAAGACCCAGTCTGGACCTGGTGATGTTTGGATGATAAGTACATAGTACATTGCAGAGTAAATTTAAAGTTAAATAAAGTTTGTCAAATTCTTTCATGATTTTATTTAAAAGAGACAGTGCAGCCATGGCCCAAATTGATAAACTGTAATCTACAATAAACTGAAAATTTGTGAAAAAAATAGTGTGTAGCACATTATTCGATGAAATGTGTTTACAGAATTGATAGGTGATGCCATGATGTATTGCTAAACGCTTTTACTATTTTATCGATGTGACACTTAGCATAATTTTTGACAATAAAATTACAATTGAGATTATTTATGGAATTGATGTATTTTAAAGGATTTGTATTAATAGAAAATGGTGGAAAAGGGGTATTCCAAATGAGAAACACATTACCACAGTTTTATGAGTGTTAATTTTCAGATTATATTTTTGGTAGAGTTCTGACAAATGATGTAAATTTTGTTGAAAGACGTCCATGTTCTGAATTATTATTCTGATATCATTAATAGTAGATTTGAGTTAGCCAAGAATGTTGTTTATATAAACAGAGAAGAAAAGGCAACTTAATAATGAACCCTGTTGTAATATACAAATTGATGCAAAATCTAGAAACTCAAATTTTCCTATTTTAATTTTGTAAGTACTGTACATGATAGAAAGTAATTATTGAACCAGAATTGATAAATGGGGCCAAGATGAGTTGAAAGCTTGCCTGATGTCTAAGTGACCAACATAAATGGGGCGTTTTCTTTCTAAGTTATTGATGATTACTGATAAAATAGCGAATAAATTAGTGGAAGTGAAGTGATGATGGAGCACACAGTGTTGAAATGGGTAGGTATATTTTTCGGTAGACACAAATTTAAAATATTTTGAGCATAGCGGGCAATATGGTAATAAGGTGGTATAAGATTTTGTCCTTTTTTGGAATGGCTTTTATAGAAGATGAATACCACTGTTTAGGAACAAAACTAAATCTGGAAAATTTTGTGAATAATCTAGATAATATGATTGCAGACATGGGTTTTACTTGTAGAAGATAGCAGGTACATAGTCTGAACTAAAATTAGAAATTTTTAAAGTATCTGTTGCATCAATCATGTCAGAAAAGGAAAAAGAATGGTGGTATCTATTTGAGTGTGATTTGAATTTGGTCTTTGGTAAAATATTAGTGAATCTATTTTTGAAATTATTCTATACTTTGTAAACCTGTTGGTCCAGTACAACAGATGATTTATAGGAAACCTTTCTGGAAAATTTAGGTATAAAACTCCAAAAGGTCTTTGAGTCAGAAGCAAAGGAGCTGATTATTTTATTAAAATAATTTTGAAAAGAAATGTTGCATTCTATGTGGAACTGTTTTTAAATGACACAGTGTATATATATATATATATATATATATATATNTAGGTCTTATTTTCTGCGGATGTCTTATTTTCGGGGAAACACGGTACAATACCATAATGTTTTATCATTAAAAAATACTACAATACTCTTCAAATTACAAATGTAAACTTTGTTTACATTTGTAATTTGAAGAGTATTGTAGTATTTTCTAAAATTTGTTTGATTATAAAAATGAATTAGATATAAAATTTTGTTTTGCTACAATCATATCATACTTACTGGAAACATATTATCAGTAGCAGTAAAATTCAAATCATTCAAGAAACACTGAGTCATTTTTAATGCCAATTTCAGAGTTTTTTGATCAGGACAGGACTGGGGAGTGTATCTTAATAAATCCTATAAACATAAATTGTGAAAATTATGCTTTAGTTATGTAATAATGCAATATAAATGAAAATTATTTATATATAGCAATATATTATCCACAATTTAAATTAAAAAATACAATATTTATGAATTTCTGAAAAAACAACATTCACTTTGAATATTTAAAATTATTTTTGTTCAAATATTAAAATAATTCCTAATGTATTCAATACTCAAAAAACACAAGTATTCAAATCAATATTAACATTCAGCAGGATATTTTTATTTAACTGATATTTTTGGTTTTTTATAAGGGATCATCACATTACATCAATATAAATAAAATTAAAACTTCAAAAAACTCATTTTTGTATATTAAAAAGATTTATCAAAGTAATAATTTAGACAGTCAAGGAGTTAGAGTAGTTAAAGTATGTTATATATTTTTTAAGTTAACAAAAGCACTAAATTTTTGATAAAAATTCTTTAAAAAATTTAGTTATTTCTTAGTATAAATAGTATCATTTTTAGAATTCTTTAATGAGGAAACTCTCAACTCACTACAAAAACTAATGACATGATTAAAACTCAAAACCATCTTTCATATAAAATACAGTGATGAACTCAGTGTAATGATGAGATAATTACTTGGGAAATCCTGCTTTGGAAATTATGTCAGCAATTAACTACAGGAAGCCAAAGTTTAAAACATTTTTTTCCATTACAATGAAACCAAAAATTTATATCATAAAATTTTATATACTTATTGGTTATAATTTTGTTTTAAAAATATTCATATAGAATTTCATTTTTGTAAAAATTGGAATTAAATAAGGTAAATTTCCATGCTATGCATTCCTTTAAACATTCACATTTAATACATTAATTTTTTATAAAAAAGACTGGGTATTTTTCATCAAACTTCAGATCTAAATTCTGTATTGAAATATTGCATTATATTTATTCCTTTACTGAGACAGCAAATTGAATTGTTCAACGTTCCATATTTGCTGGAATATTTTTCAACACATATTTTTATTTGCATCTGAAAGAGAGAAAAACAATGACCTGCAAACAAAATATATCCTAAATACTTTATATGTTGAAATTATCTTTAATATTAAAAATCAGCAAAGTCTAATATAAATTAGTATAACATTATTACATAGTGGAAATATACTTGTTTAAACTCTATTTCATCTTTAACCAATACTGTATTTAGATACTTAAAATTTATTAGGTTAATGAAATCTGTCAATAATCTACACACTAATCAAACATTACATGATTTGCAAGTCCATAGAATAATTGTTATAGAGATTCAATTTTAAGATGCAATATACAAAATGTTAAAGTATTAGATTGGCATTTAAATAAGTTATAACAACATTTTTCAATGAAAATCTGATGTATAGGTTAAAACTTCCTCTACAAAAATCAGACATCATGTCTAGACAGCAGTAAATTTTAAAATATCCTTTATGATAAGCATTATGGTTTCATTTTCTCATTATTCTTAAATGTTAATTACACTACAGGAAAAATATATTCAAACTTAATCAGTCATTAATCTCATTAAAATGAAATAAATAAATGTTAAATACAAATACAAATTCTAAACTATTAAGATAAATAGAACCATTGCCAGTATAAAAAGGAGAGCAGAATAAAGTTATTATACATCAAAATTACTATTGCATAATAGATATAAATTTTAATTAATAACAACATTAAAAATTACTACTTTAATTAATTATATATATCTTATATTTCATTATGTTAAAAAGCAATATTTGATTTTTCTTTATAAAAATGAAATAAAATTTAAAAAGAAAACATTATATTCTATTTCGTTTGATTTAGAAATATTTAGGTAATTAAATGATAATTTAAAATCTTTTGTTTTTGTCAATTTAAAACAATTACTTTGATATTTTATGAAACCTACTATTGTAAGGTGATGTGCACATATTGCAATGATAAATTTTGCTTCATTTTTTACGTCCACCTTCCGTTTTATACAATTCATCACCACTACTTCCCTCTCCCCATTTGCCTAATCATGTGTACAACAAATGTCAATTAACAACCAAATATTCCAAAATAAATGAATTATTTTGTATGCACAAACACTTGGATGACCTCCCCCGTGCCAGCTTTCATCAACACCCTCATGACACCCCAATGTCATTGCAAGAAATGCATGCTGCCTAACTAACAGTTTAGCTATTCTACATCAAACTTTTTCCTAATTTATCATTAATTTACAAATAATCAATACAATTATTTACACTAATTCTAAAATCATTTTATTTTTCATAAACATGTATTAATTCTGAAGTAATATAATTCCTTTTTAATATAAGAGAAGTTACTCAAATAAGAAATACATTACCCTAACATTAATATATTAATATCTGGTCACTAAAATTTTAAAAAAGACACATTATTTATTATATTTCTAATATCATGATACTAAAACCTGCTATAATGGTTTTTCCTCTTTGTGACATACTCTCCACCAATTGTTTATAAATATTCAGTCTAACACAACCATCAAGTTTAGATTTGTTCTTTGTATGGTCCTTGTATGCACAGAACTGACATTCAAATCTATCCCAAAGATGCTCATTAAAATACAGACTAGGGCTTGGGCTGACCAATCCAACTTTCCAATATTTATGCCTACAAACCACACTGTTACAACCAAAGTAATGTGGAAGGTGCATTATCTTGCTGCAGATGTAGGGACCTTCCTTGAAGTACTTATAATGTTGAAAGTGTATAATTGTCCAAAATGTCCAGATACCACACAGCATTTATAGTTTTATCAATAGCAATTAATGGGTTCAAGCCATGCCATGCTATTTCCTCTATCAAACAAACTCTTTTGTTGGGATGATACAATCTGGAAGGAGCTCTTCCCCCGGTATTTACCACATCTGGATATAGGCATCTGACTGGTAGATTGCAAATCTTGATTAGACCAGTGAAAATCCTTTCAATGGACAGATTTAAATCCAGCATTTGCATTCCTTACACTATGTCAATTGGTATCTAGCATTAGTCATGGTGATTATTGGCTTAGAAATAGTTGCACAGCCATTGTAACCCAGAATATGAAGTTCTTCATACCATATTTGTCCTGACAGTCATTCCAGAAATCTCACATAGGATTTGTGCAACCTAAGACAATGGTAATATACAGCTTGTGCACACTAACATACTCTTGAGACGCTGGAACACTAACAATAAGCAACTCAACACCTTCCATACTCTTTCCAGCTTTTTGCTAGAAAAACTATAGGAAGTGTTGAGCTGCTTATTGTGCACACTGTTTTGCACAAAACTCTCTTGTCTCTCTGTTATTTTGAGAGGTTTTCTAGCATGTTTCTTGGAGAATTCAGCCCAAGTTCACTTCAGTTCGCATATGATATCATCAACTGTTGACTTCAGAACCCCAAGACTAACTGCAATATCTCATACAGAACATTTGTAAATGTGACCTTGGATCTACTATCATTCCATTTTGAAAGTTGGTTAATTTCACTGAATGTGGTATTTTGCAAGTTCCCTTTTGTTATGGTCTGTTCAAAGCCCAGCAAATGTGTTTATAGCCAACACAGTGCTTACTTTGCATGCAATCTAGCAGTGTCTGGATATTAATTTTTTGTACAAGAAAGTTGCCAACTTTCTTGTACAAAAAAGGAGGAGGCCAGTGCACAGACAATACACAACAGAAGTCATTTATAAATATTTGTTGACAAATTCTATACATTATAAAATATTAATTAGACAATAAATAGGTTTTTAAACTCAGCATTAGAATTCCTACCAACAGTTGCACAATGCCACCTTAAGCCTTATATTTTATTTGCTTCTCCAACTTAATTAATAATAGTGTTTTTTTCTTTCTATTAGTGATAAAAACTAAACTATTACTTTAGAATAAAAAAATAAAATATTGGATCATCATCCACTGGTAATATTTCAGAAATGATGAAGTAAAATTAAACAAACAATTAAAATTATACTCAAAAGGAGGATGAGAGAACAATACAATAAAATATTAATGTTTTGAAACATGAATATAACTTTCAAATTAAAATTTTAAAATTCAATTAAAAATATTAATAAATTCAATTTTGATTCCAGAAGTCTTCAAAAAATCCATTAAGATTTTAAATAAAAATTAATATAAAATATAAATAAAAATATAAAAGTAACTAAAAACTTACATGCAAGACCAAGGCATTTTTCTGAACTCTAGCTACAGGTTTATGAAGTAAATCTAAAATAAAAAATTGTAAATTTAATTTATTTTTATCATCACTTATGAAATATAACAGAGCTATAAATATATAAAGCTACCTTCTAATGTTGTGGCTTGTCCTTTCATATATTTTAATTTAATGCTCTATAATAATAAAAAATATAAAAATTTAAAGATAGTGAATATAATAAAGCAATTGTAATTTAATATAATATTTAAAAACATTTTTCATAAAATTTTAAAGCATTAAAATAATAATAATTATTATTATTATATAATAACAAAATATTTTAAATCATGATTTGTTTAATTTTTTGATAACTTATATATTAAATTCCAATTTAATTAAGAGCAATGGCACATTGTTGTGGTTATCATACTCTCTTTTCTAAACAACAATCAATATTGATATCTAATGAATACAAATATATATTTATATAAACATCTGTACCATCTTATATAGGATTCTATCCATATCATTTGCCAAAAATTCATATAAGAATTCTGGCACAAATTTCTGTTTTATTTCTATAAAAGTATGATTCATGTTTGAATCATGATGTATGAATTGACAACTTAATTAGCTATTATAGACAGCATTTGTAATGCATTGGGATAGCGTTGTGGCAATAGATAAAGGGGAAAAAAATGTAATTAATCAAAGTTTACAGTATATACAATTTGTCCTGTTTGAAGAGAATGTTTTTAAAGCCCAAACACATTACAATTTTATAGAAATATCCAAATCCATGTCCAAAATGGGACTCAGTCCTGCAATATGGTAAATAAAAGCAAATGCCTTATACAGCATTACTCTGCACAAAATTTGTAGTCTGTTAAGGCATTTTGAAATTAAACTATATTAAAGTAATAGTTTTGTTTCAAACTGATATAATGAAAAAAAAATATATTAAAATAAATAAAGTAATGAAAAAATGGATAACGAATTACTACAATTAATTTATTTAATACATACCTTAATAATTTCTGCAAATTTTGCATTTTCAACACTACACTTTTTTACAGTTTCAATTGCTTTAGAATAGTTCTGAAGAAAAGCTGCATAAACACCCAACTTGCTAGCCTAATTCAAAAGACAAATTATTTTAATTATTTCAAAAGTCAAATTACATTATTAATTATAAATTTACAAAAACAATTATATTAAGGTGTAAAAATTTCTTTAATTCAAATGTTAGATGTGTGAAATCATGATATAAACTACTTCTGAATTACATAAATAACTTAAAATGATCATATTACAATCACTGACTTAAATAGGTTTCAAAAACTAGTAAAAATTATTTAAAAATAATTTAGAAAAAATAGATTATTTTTTTTATTTAACCTATAAATTATAACTAACATTTTTCAAGAACTTAATACAATAAATGTCTATGTATCCATTTTGTATTTATAAAAAAATTAGCTTTCCAAATAAAGGAAATATGTTTAAAAAAATTCTTAATAATGTATACCAATATTTTAAAATGTTCTCCAACTGCATGTTTTCCATCTTGACTTTCAGTATAGGCTTTTAATCCTTGAAGAAAACTCAAATGGATATTATGCAATTCTGGAATCCTAAAAAATACTGTGTTGAAATCTTCTAAGGAAAGTAATGGCTGCGATGTCCCAATAGTTGCCTTTAGAGCCTTCATATACTAAATGAATATATTAATAAATCTTGACATATTATATAAATACAGATATATCTAATTATATCAAAACTGTACATACTGAATTTATATCTAATTATATTTATGTTCTAAATTTTATATTTTTCTAGCAAAAAGAAAAAATTAATGAATGTATAATAGAACTCCAATTATCCAAATTGATTCATTCTGCAGATGATTTGGATAATCAAAAATTCAGATAAGCAGATTAACATGTAAAAATGAAATTACAGAGTAAGAGCATATTATTGTACTGTATTTATTATTCATCAATGTGCAAGTAGCATCATACTGATCATTTTCATTTGTCAAAGCTAATAGGTATCAGTGATCATGCAGTTGCATGATGTAAGAGAATTGCAGTGTGATGTCAGTGGGAGAGAGAAAGGAGGACAAGTAATGGTTCAGATAATTGTATATTCAGTTAATCTGCATTTGGATAATTGAAAATCTACTGTAACTACTATTTTAAAGCATTTTTAAATTTCTCATAATTGTTCTTATGTAAGAAAACTATTGACTTGTATATCGAAAACTACTGATTTATTGCTAACAATGTATTTTGGTTTCACAAAAAAAAAAATTAGAGTCATTATAATTAATTTTAAATATTTTTTTAATTATTTTATATCCATTTCCAAATATCTGATTGTTCTTTAATAATAGGTTTGTAATTTTTAACTTTCTTCCTTTACAAACTTTTCTAAATATATATATTATAATTTATTTAAATTATAAAACTGAAAATAATATATTTAAAATTATCTTCATTATGCAAAAGTTAGGTAGATTACAAATACTGTATATCAATTGAGTATAAAAATGCATTGTTATGGAAAATGAAGAGCTTTTAAATTGTCATTGTTCTTTTAAAATAAAAATAACACACCAAAAATAATTTATCAAATATGTATTAAGAAAATTCCAACAAAGACAATTTTATAATGAATAATTTCCATAATAATACTTAATTCTTACAGTAGAATAGAGATTAGAATATCAATTTATCAGCTATGTAATAGGTTTTTAAAAATTTATTTTACAAATAATTGCTTTTGCATCAAATATAATTTCCTTCAATTGTTGATTAATTTAATTTAAATGATTTTAATGGATTTATATATATATATAAAATTAAAATTTTAAAAGTAGTTTACAATTATCATAATATTCATAATCTTAAAAGATTCTTTACATTCCAATAAAAATAGATATGCTAATGTTAATAACATGTTTTGATATTTTCATTTTTTTTCTTGAAAAGTTTAAAAGGCAATCTATGAAATTATCTAATCATGAATTAATACCATAAATCTGAAAGATTTGTAATATAATTTAAATTATGATCAAATAATTGTATAAATTGCATTTATATTTCTTAAATTAACAGACTGCAGTTACATGTTGTTCCACATTAAATTCATTAGTATCAAATGTGAAAAAGCAAATGTGTTTGTTATCAACTGTCAAAATGAGTTTGTAATGGAAGGAAAAAAAAAATACTTTTATATGATTACAAACAATGTAAATCACTATGTACACATCAATTCCATNTACATTAAAATAATAATAATTATTATTATTATATAATAACAAAATATTTTAAATCATGATTTGTTTAATTTTTTGATAACTTATATATTAAATTCCAATTTAATTAAGAGCAATGGCACATTGTTGTGGTTATCATACTCTCTTTTCTAAACAACAATCAATATTGATATCTAATGAATACAAATATATATTTATATAAACATCTGTACCATCTTATATAGGATTCTATCCATATCATTTGCCAAAAATTCATATAAGAATTCTGGCACAAATTTCTGTTTTATTTCTATAAAAGTATGATTCATGTTTGAATCATGATGTATGAATTGACAACTTAATTAGCTATTATAGACAGCATTTGTAATGCATTGGGATAGCGTTGTGGCAATAGATAAAGGGGAAAAAAATGTAATTAATCAAAGTTTACAGTATATACAATTTGTCCTGTTTGAAGAGAATGTTTTTAAAGCCCAAACACATTACAATTTTATAGAAATATCCAAATCCATGTCCAAAATGGGACTCAGTCCTGCAATATGGTAAATAAAAGCAAATGCCTTATACAGCATTACTCTGCACAAAATTTGTAGTCTGTTAAGGCATTTTGAAATTAAACTATATTAAAGTAATAGTTTTGTTTCAAACTGATATAATGAAAAAAAAATATATTAAAATAAATAAAGTAATGAAAAAATGGATAACGAATTACTACAATTAATTTATTTAATACATACCTTAATAATTTCTGCAAATTTTGCATTTTCAACACTACACTTTTTTACAGTTTCAATTGCTTTAGAATAGTTCTGAAGAAAAGCTGCATAAACACCCAACTTGCTAGCCTAATTCAAAAGACAAATTATTTTAATTATTTCAAAAGTCAAATTACATTATTAATTATAAATTTACAAAAACAATTATATTAAGGTGTAAAAATTTCTTTAATTCAAATGTTAGATGTGTGAAATCATGATATAAACTACTTCTGAATTACATAAATAACTTAAAATGATCATATTACAATCACTGACTTAAATAGGTTTCAAAAACTAGTAAAAATTATTTAAAAATAATTTAGAAAAAATAGATTATTTTTTTTATTTAACCTATAAATTATAACTAACATTTTTCAAGAACTTAATACAATAAATGTCTATGTATCCATTTTGTATTTATAAAAAAATTAGCTTTCCAAATAAAGGAAATATGTTTAAAAAAATTCTTAATAATGTATACCAATATTTTAAAATGTTCTCCAACTGCATGTTTTCCATCTTGACTTTCAGTATAGGCTTTTAATCCTTGAAGAAAACTCAAATGGATATTATGCAATTCTGGAATCCTAAAAAATACTGTGTTGAAATCTTCTAAGGAAAGTAATGGCTGCGATGTCCCAATAGTTGCCTTTAGAGCCTTCATATACTAAATGAATATATTAATAAATCTTGACATATTATATAAATACAGATATATCTAATTATATCAAAACTGTACATACTGAATTTATATCTAATTATATTTATGTTCTAAATTTTATATTTTTCTAGCAAAAAGAAAAAATTAATGAATGTATAATAGAACTCCAATTATCCAAATTGATTCATTCTGCAGATGATTTGGATAATCAAAAATTCAGATAAGCAGATTAACATGTAAAAATGAAATTACAGAGTAAGAGCATATTATTGTACTGTATTTATTATTCATCAATGTGCAAGTAGCATCATACTGATCATTTTCATTTGTCAAAGCTAATAGGTATCAGTGATCATGCAGTTGCATGATGTAAGAGAATTGCAGTGTGATGTCAGTGGGAGAGAGAAAGGAGGACAAGTAATGGTTCAGATAATTGTATATTCAGTTAATCTGCATTTGGATAATTGAAAATCTACTGTAACTACTATTTTAAAGCATTTTTAAATTTCTCATAATTGTTCTTATGTAAGAAAACTATTGACTTGTATATCGAAAACTACTGATTTATTGCTAACAATGTATTTTGGTTTCACAAAAAAAAAAATTAGAGTCATTATAATTANAAGAAATTATTAATTTTTAAAATTTCATAAATAAGTAAATATATTAAAATGATTAAAATAACATTTATTAACAATAATATTTGTCAAATTGTAAGTATTTTAACAGAAGTGCTTAGTAGCAAACACCTACATATTAGTGTCAAGGTCTATTTAGTACGTTACACCTGAATGAATGAATATAGGCCAAATTAGAAGTGCTTTTATGGTTATTTTTTTTAGCAGTTTATTATTAGACTAAAATATAAGTTTAAAAAAAATTACTGCACAAACATTGATGTAATGTAGATAATATATTAAAATAAATGTTGAATTGAACACATTTTATTATTATAAATATATTTTTAAAAACAATATACAGGTTTTAGTTTGAAAATTTATAATTATTCGGGTTTTTTTTAAATAAAATTTTGTTTTTAAAGCTTAACGGAACAATTCTAGAAAAATATATAAAGGGAAGTTTAAAAAAAATAAAGGATATATATGTCAATTTTTCTATCCAGCAGACAGAGCTAGATTATCAGATTACTTCTGATAATGGTTAACAATGCTTTTATATTGGTGAAAAGGAAGCAGCAGCTTAATATTTTATGAAATAAAATTTGACAGTTTCGATAAAATTTAAGCAGAATAAATTCATTTTAAATAATAAATTAGACAAAAAATTATCAAAATATACACTAAAATCTTTGAAGTAATCAATATTTATGTAATTAAATTATTACTATTAATTTTATTTGTCTATATAAAAAGCAATTAGAAAAAAAAAACTATATTAACACAGAAAGATTTTCATAAAATTAGAGAATAGTTGTATAAATAGATTTTTTAGAAAGTTTATTATAAAAATAAATAACTAAATAAAATATTTTCAATAAGAATTTCATAATTATATTATAATTTCAAATTTTTTTAAATTATAATTTTCAAAATAAAAAAAGAAACAAGAAAAACAATCATTTAAGTAACAAATTAAATAATTTATATTTAATAACATTTTTATTTGATTTTAAATTAAAATTCTTCTGTAAAATACTGGTTCTTGGATAGAAATAATGGCTAAAACACATGAATAACAATTTCGAAATTATAAAATATTACAACTTTATGTATATGAAACATTCATTTACATCATAAAGTTCAAGTACTGGACTCTACTAAATATTATAGGTAAAAAAATATGAAAGTATTTATCAAAAATTTCTAAAAATAAAGCTTTTAAACTATAAGAGAGAAAAATCAAAAATCTGCGATTTAAGAAATTGATATAACAAAATATTTTTTTTCCATCAAAAACATCATAACAGCAGACTTCATTATTTAGTTTGGTTTGCTAGTATTGAATTTCTCTACGATATGTAACTCAATCTACAAAATCACTTCTGTTTAACTAACAAAATTAATAATGACCATTTTATTTGAAGTTTTGTCGAGGTGTTTTAAGTTTTAAATGAAGTAGAAACAGACTTTAACAGTTTCCATTTAAATTGTATTGAAATTGGTGCATGTAATGGTTATTATTAATTTAAAAANATTTTCCTCTTCTTACTTTTTGGTTATTGGGAGGTGTGGAAGATCCAGATGCATATAAACACGAAGTCGATTCAACAGAGCTGCTATAAACACCTAAAAGTAATAAAATTTATTTAGAAAGATGATATCTTAAATTCGATTTTCATGATTAAAACATTTAAAATTTCTCAAAAGAAAGTTTTTTAAATTTAATTTTAAAATCTCATTTAATAATATTAAATTTGGCATATGATGGATTAAATAAATTTACTAATAAAAGATAAATAAAATAATTAAATAAAAATCTGATAAGTTAAAAAAAAAATTACTTGCCAAATTTTCAAAATTAATTGAGAAAGAAATTATTAATTTTTAAAATTTCATAAATAAGTAAATATATTAAAATGATTAAAATAACATTTATTAACAATAATATTTGTCAAATTGTAAGTATTTTAACAGAAGTGCTTAGTAGCAAACACCTACATATTAGTGTCAAGGTCTATTTAGTACGTTACACCTGAATGAATGAATATAGGCCAAATTAGAAGTGCTTTTATGGTTATTTTTTTTAGCAGTTTATTATTAGACTAAAATATAAGTTTAAAAAAAATTACTGCACAAACATTGATGTAATGTAGATAATATATTAAAATAAATGTTGAATTGAACACATTTTATTATTATAAATATATTTTTAAAAACAATATACAGGTTTTAGTTTGAAAATTTATAATTATTCGGGTTTTTTTTAAATAAAATTTTGTTTTTAAAGCTTAACGGAACAATTCTAGAAAAATATATAAAGGGAAGTTTAAAAAAAATAAAGGATATATATGTCAATTTTTCTATCCAGCAGACAGAGCTAGATTATCAGATTACTTCTGATAATGGTTAACAATGCTTTTATATTGGTGAAAAGGAAGCAGCAGCTTAATATTTTATGAAATAAAATTTGACAGTTTCGATAAAATTTAAGCAGAATAAATTCATTTTAAATAATAAATTAGACAAAAAATTATCAAAATATACACTAAAATCTTTGAAGTAATCAATATTTATGTAATTAAATTATTACTATTAATTTTATTTGTCTATATAAAAAGCAATTAGAAAAAAAAAACTATATTAACACAGAAAGATTTTCATAAAATTAGAGAATAGTTGTATAAATAGATTTTTTAGAAAGTTTATTATAAAAATAAATAACTAAATAAAATATTTTCAATAAGAATTTCATAATTATATTATAATTTCAAATTTTTTTAAATTATAATTTTCAAAATAAAAAAAGAAACAAGAAAAACAATCATTTAAGTAACAAATTAAATAATTTATATTTAATAACATTTTTATTTGATTTTAAATTAAAATTCTTCTGTAAAATACTGGTTCTTGGATAGAAATAATGGCTAAAACACATGAATAACAATTTCGAAATTATAAAATATTACAACTTTATGTATATGAAACATTCATTTACATCATAAAGTTCAAGTACTGGACTCTACTAAATATTATAGGTAAAAAAATATGAAAGTATTTATCAAAAATTTCTAAAAATAAAGCTTTTAAACTATAAGAGAGAAAAATCAAAAATCTGCGATTTAAGAAATTGATATAACAAAATATTTTTTTTCCATCAAAAACATCATAACAGCAGACTTCATTATTTAGTTTGGTTTGCTAGTATTGAATTTCTCTACGATATGTAACTCAATCTACAAAATCACTTCTGTTTAACTAACAAAATTAATAATGACCATTTTATTTGAAGTTTTGTCGAGGTGTTTTAAGTTTTAAATGAAGTAGAAACAGACTTTAACAGTTTCCATTTAAATTGTATTGAAATTGGTGCATGTAATGGTTATTATTAATTTAAAAAATAGTAATAATTATAGTCATAATATATAAATACTGATGAAACAATTAAATATCAACATTTATAGCATACGTATATAATAGAGAGGGAAAGCAATAATAATTTCTAATTGGAGTAAGTTATATTTAGAATAATTAACAAATTAAATAGAAAATTATTTATATTATTTTTTTCCATTTAACTTTGCAAATGTTTTATTTTTATTATGTACCAACATATTAATACAATATCTTTATTAATAGAAATGATGATAATGATACTACATCTTATTATAACATGATTTATCTATCACAGCATTCAATTTGAATATTTCTTGATTCCATAATTAATAAATAAATTGATCAGAATTAATTTTCAGAATTTTTATTATTATTATTATTGAATTCTAATTAAAATTGAATATTGGATATATTATTAAATTTTTTGGAAGCAGTTTTAAGAGAAGATTGTAAATATGATAGACTGGAATTGAGATGGAATGCAGAATTTGCATTCAGATTAAATTTTTCAGTTTATTCTTATTTTTAACCCATCTTTTATAGTTAAAATTGCTTGAATTATTTCAATGAAATGCATGAATAAACTTAAAAATTACATACAAATTAACTTTTCAATTAAGATTTACTCTGTAAGCTCTGTATTTTTAAATATTTGAAAAATAATACAAGAATTTTTAGTAATTCTTACATTCACGTAAGCAACTTCTCCGATTTAAACATAAATTTTGTAAATATTTTGACATTTTTTTAAAATTTCTATTAACAAAAAAATTTGTCATAATTAATATTAAAATGAAAATTGACACTTATTCTCATTGATTTTCAATTATGGATCTTTTCTCACATTATGAAAAGCAATAAAATTTTTCAATATATTTTATTAGCATTTCTTTTAATAACAGCTATTTTAGTCTTATAGTTTCAATTTATTCTAAATTTTCGGTGAAATTTACTTAAATTTTTTGTTCTATCAAAATTTTTATTGTATTATAAACAGAATGCTTGAGCCTGTTATTTTATTTGATATTTATAGCTTATCCTCAATGAAAAAAGTCAGATAAGTGAAATATGCTATTTTAGAGCATTAATAATGAAAAAAAAATGATAAGATTACAAAATTAAAAACAAGCAATTTTTTTGTCCAGTCTAAAATAATTGCACACTTCTTATAACATGCATAGAGGAAATACTTAAATTTATCAAAATCAAGCAATTTCATGTACTAAAAGAGACAAAAACATAATTTTATCATTATTTCAATTCATTGTTGATTGAAATTACTTCTGACAAATCTCTATAACATGTTTAAAGTTTAACAATCAAAACATATTAAATCAATGCAATTTAACAGATCTAAATTTCATGGCTTATTACCTAATATGTTAAACTACATTTAACTTTAACATACTACTTATACCAAGTTTATATATCATTTAAGAAGCTTATTGTAATAAGTTAAATATATCCAAATTAATTTAATTATATAGAGGAACAGTGACAGAGAAGCAGAGACAAACATATGCCCCTCTGGGCACTAAATTAGAAAGGGTGCTTGAACTCTCCTAATAGATAGTATATAATTGAAAGAATTTATCAATGAAAAGTTAATTGTTATGCTAATATATTAATGTTAAAAACTACTGCTTTATTCATCATCAATACATGCTGTTAAAACTTACAGATTTATATATAGAGAGAGCTCTATGCTTATTTAATTATATTTGACTACTAATTACAAGTACAATAAATCTTTTTATGTATTAAAATTATTATAAGACATTAGGAAAAACAAATTAAATTCTCATATTGCATATAATTAATTAATTATTCATTTCAGAAATGCACTTTCATTAATTTATTTTAATAAAGAGCATTTGTAAAATATAGATATATGTTGAGAAATAAGGATATTTTCAATATGTTTATTCTGTTATGCTTAATTCTCTTGGCATGTCTGAATCTCATAAATAATAATAGTAATGATGATGATAACAAAGGTAAACAACGAACAAAATCAAAAATGCTATTCATATAAAACATTTCTCATAACTTTTCCTTATTATTTATATAATTTTCATTTAATCTAAAGAATTAACTAAAATGAAGATAGAAGAATGATATCTGGAAGAAAGCTTGGAATATTTGTAACTTTAAACTGATATTAATTCTTGAAATTATTAAATTCAATTAATAAGTTATAAAATAAATTTCAGGAATCTCAATAAAATTTTTATCAGAGATCCAATTTCATTGATTGTAACATTCTAATCTCCAGTTTGTTTAAAATTTCTTAGATATATATTATTAAGCAGTCAATTTAAATAAAGGAAAGTAAGTTTTTGTCAATAAATAATGAGATTTTAGAAATATTTCCTTAAAAACAATTGGAAATAAACTGGAAACCCTTATTTCACTTACAAACAGTACTTCAAGGTTATTCAATAGATAAGAATAGACATTTTAAAATGCAGTTTTTAGAAAACAGATAAAACAAATTGTTTTATTTTAAAATATATATATGATTTTAGTACTTAATGTCTTATAATTATATACCTGTGTTATTGTTGTATAAATTAATTATTTTTTAAACAAATTTCTGGTCAATTTTTCAATAAATTCATCATAAAATTATAAACTAATCTTAATTTCAAATAAAAGTAAAAGTGATATTTAAAATAAACAAATGAAAAAGAAAAATCAAAATATTATCCATTTTCTCCACATATAAATATATAAATGTTCAGATATTTAATATTATATAATAGTAAAATTACAAAAATATTAAAAATTCCTGTAAAAGAGCTTCATCGCATTATATTTTAAAGCACAATAAAAAGTTTGCATTGATAAGAAAGTTCCACAAAGACTAAAGCTTACACCTCCCAACAGACTTGTAGGGAGGATAAAAACTCTAAAGTTTTTATCCTCCCTACATTATATATAATTACATTATTTATCCTAAATTATATAAATAATTCTTTCTTATGAGAATTTTGACAATGAGCATGCACTCTCTCATTAAAAAATAACTGAATTTTGCATTCACATAAAAGAAAAATACTTATATGTAATTTTTATAATTATATGAATGTATTTTTACTTTATCAAATTATAAAAATCACCATTTAAAAATTATTAGAAATGATTTTTAAAATATGCATTAAGTTTCCTTTATATTTAAGTAAATAAATAAAAGTTTACAAAGTTTCAATTTATTTAGAGGAATAGAAACA